CTGGCGATAGCAGCGCGTCGCCAGCGAATTGACGAAGTCCTCGGGGTTTCGGGAGAGGCTCTCGCGGATGCGAGGTGCGACGAAGGCGAAAAATTTGGGCCGGGGATCGGGCGCGGATTTTAAGGGGAGTCCGCATACCAGGCAGCGAGAGGGTCTCACGGGAGCCGAAAGGGAGGAAAGGGCCACGCTGAGGAGACGGCCACTAAATATTGTGTTCGCGCAGAGAATACAGTTCTTGGGACACGTGTAAGCGGGGCCGCGGGATTCCGTATGAGCAGATCGGCCCGCCGATTATACGCTAATTCAACGCAAATTCCTTCCCGGAGATATCTGTATCGCTCGCATACATCAGAGCCCCGCGGTAGCTGGCTGCCGTTGTTGTTGCTGCTGGTGCTGCTGGTGCTGCTGGTGTTGCTGTTGCCTGTGCAGCACAGGTCTTCTCTGTGCCGCTCGCCGTGCCTTCGAGCGTCCGCAGTCTCCGCTCAGCTTAATCAGTACCCACGAGGAGACAACTATATACCCACGGCTACATAGTTTTCGTGCGCATGTGGCGTGCACACATCTGTGGGTACACCAGGGATCCACGAAAACCGGCGGCGGGGCTCTGTCGTGTCGCTACCGGCGCAACCGGTCAGCCCGCGGAAACCGCCAGGATGTACTAATTAATCCGGACGGAGATTTGATTATGATATCGGCGAAGAATGTCCGAAGTCATTCGTCGGGACGATGTTCGGAAAGTCTCTTGCGGATCGGACGTCCGATCGAGATGCTTTTAAGCGGCTAAGCTGCTCCTCGCCGGTAACCACGGATCCAACGTGTGTGAATTCAGTTCGCATGAATTTCGTTTACGTGCCGATCTACCATTCGATCGTCGCAACGATTCGATCTAGAGGCTATTCCCATCTTTAACAACTGACCATCCCAGCCACTCGGTCCACCGTAATGGACGTATGAAACATCGTACGAAACATCCCCTGCAATTAACAGCGCATTAATCCCACTATCGATCCGACAAACAAAGCGACATGAGGCAAGAACGTGGCACGAACTGGAGGAAGATGGCAGAGAACAAAGGGGAGAGCGCAAATCGTTTGGTAAAGGGCCGGCAAGATAGATAGATAGATAGATAGATAGATAAAGAGAGAGAGAGAGAATCGAGGACCAAGGTTCTCACGCATGACGAAGGCAGCCTTGGAAGGGATTTCCAAGTCAGGAATCGCCGATAAAGAGCGCGAAGACGACGGCTACCGTGTATATATAGGTATGGGCGCGCAGTGGTGGACGAAGGTGCAGCAGGGCAGAGGACCGAAGATATATCACGTTGTCGGCCGACATACCATTCTTTCGCGGCAGCCGACACAGTGTGTGCGCGTAGCGTTCACAAATTAAGGAGCGCCAAAGTCCACGGGACGGCGTAGGTATGGCGCTATCGCGCTTCATAAAACTTCGTTAGCAGGCTGCAAGTAGACGGCCGACGCGGTATATATATATATATATGTATATGTATATGTATATGTATATATATGTATATATATACGTGCTCTGATGGCCCTCTCTCGCACGGCCGAGAGCGCCGGGGAGCTACCGTAAAAATTCATTTTGTTTCCCCGGCCCGTGTAATTTCCCCCAGATTCTTGCATCTTTCGCGCTGGACCGTATTAGGCGGAACCGTGTTCGCCGCTGGTCCTCGCTCCTCGCTCGCTCCTCTACCGCGTTGATCACGCTCGTCTGTCGCCTGGTTTGCGATCCTAATCTTGATTAGCACCCCACACGCTTCTTTGTATTCCGCGTAAACGAGATTCATTGTGCCGACTTCCTCCCGAACGCTGTGACGATGTCGCTGCCTGTGGCGATGTCGCGTTAAGGGAGCGGATAATGTCGTTACGTGGATACGAAAGATTCGACGAAAAGGGAATGATCGACACTTGGACTCTTGTCTGAACAAAAATATCGATGGAAACATATATATATATATATATATATATATATATATATATATATATATATATATATATATATATATATATATATATATATATATATTTATATATTTCGAGAAGTGTTCTTTCACATCGAGTAAGGGACAAGACACGAATAACTGACACGCGTTTCTATACTTTTGACACCATGTGATTCGACATCAACTGACGAAAGTAAGATCGTCTCTGAATAATTAAATTGTCTCTGGAGTCTACCGAGTATACCGAACGCCCGCATTTACCGTGACTTCGATTTCGATCGTCAGGAGTCGTCCTCGGCCCTCGTGGTCGCTGGCTGAGCAACGGTATTGGCGCCACGTGCCTCTAATATCAAGCAGGAGGTCGTATATCCTGTCGGTGCGTCGCTCGTTAATTTGCCGTAGAGTCAGCGCATAGAGGGCCAGTGGGCGCACAAGGTGCACCCCACACGTAGCTACACAGACGACGGCGGGGCACCACCGACACGCTCTCGCCGACAGACGCGGAGCACGAGGGTGGCAGTGCAACGGTGGCCACGTAAAGCCGCGCACACAGCCACGCTGGTTAAATAGACATACACGAAAGAGCGCGCGCGTGGTTCTCGTCATTAGGTACGTAGCCTCGTTAGGATGAGTTTTTCCGCCGCTAATGAGGTGGCCTGCAAGTTGTCTCTGCTACTGGTGCAGACGGTCAGCCCAGCCTCGCTCTTTCTCTCTCTTTCTCTCTCTTTCTGTCTCTCTCTCTCTCTCTCTCTCTCTCTCTCTCTCTCTCTCCGTGCGGATCAGGTGGACGTCCGGCTTCCTATGACGTCCGCGTGCAAATCTGGAGACCTGGACACTATTTTTAATCTACCTCCGGGACGCGGACTTGACGGAATTAAAATACATGTCCGCGGGAGCACCGCGACCGCTTGCTTATATCCTCGACGCGAGTCGTATATTTCTCTCTTAGCGGACCAGCCACCCTTCGCGTTCCACCATGCGGAATAATCCTGGTTCCTCCTGGCTGTTACGCCAACAGACACCTTGTTTCTTTCTCCTCTCTCCTTTTTCTTTTCTCTCTTTCCTTTTTTTGACTCCAAGCTCATTATATATCCTTTACTCACGAGAAAACTACTAAAATGTACAACACCAGAAAAATAATTGAATCTGCTAGTTTATGAGCGCTTCTGTAATACCCAATGATCTACAAATTCACAACTATCAGAATCTATCGTAATACTCTACTTCTGTATTACTAGTCAGTCAATGATTATTTTTTCATAAGGAATTCAAAGCTTTCGTGTCTTCATTCGTGGTATGGTATCAAACTTCTAGATATTTTTGCATTAAAAATTACCGAGAATACGACGTTTGGTTATTGTAGCGCAGTAACATCGTTGTTTCCCGTACGCGTTCAACGAAAGCACTGAACGCGTAGCGGGCATCGACAAGGCGACGCGGTCGCATGGTAATACCGCGCGTGAGGTACCACGCGACAGCGACATTTAACCGCGGTCGGACGAATGGCGCGCGCGTGTCCTCGCGTTTTTGCGAGACCTGCCCGCGGCCATTAAATTTACGAGCCGTCACGGCTAACTTGCAAAGAATAATAACGTATATGCTCGAAATAATCCGCGGGCCGCGGAATAACCCGCTATATGGAAATAGCCGGACATTTGAACGGCTCGATGTCAAAGCAAGCCAGCCCGGATATAACTCAACGCTTAAACGCGGCCGCGTTCGCTTCAACCGCTCGCCGAGCTAGACGCGTGCTGTTTTGGATTTAAAAACGCGCTCTTTACATTTTACTCGCCGGTTATTTCTAACTCGCGCGCATTTTGTCCGCCGTGTCACTCGTCGCGTAAACCGGCGATTTAAACGAAAATTGCGAAAAAAAAAAAAAAAAGAAGAGAAAAACAGGTTCTCTCGACTTGCCGTTTCGACGCTGAATCCCATCCCTGCGATTGCTCGTTTGCAACAGGGTGATTCTCTTGCTACTCAAACGAGAGGCAGATCGCTGCTATTGAGCTAATTAACTAACGAAAAGATCCTTTTGAATTCACGATACCTTTGTAAATTTGATAACGATTGAAACTTGATTTGAACCGTAAATTACCTGACAAAATCGTAGAAGAGAAGTGTGTAACTTGACAATCTATTAATATCGTTTAATATCGTTCACTGACAAATTATTGCGCGAAAGGACCGAGATATAAGAGTCCCATCGTCCTTTGACACTAGAACCACCGTAAACAACTAAAACATAAAATTTCCACCAGATACGTAAAAGTAAAATAAATATAATAATATACACAAGCTTTTTTATTTCTGTATTTTACGAAGGATTATTTAAGTCGCTAAAAATTCTTCTGTATCTACAAAATATCCAAACAAAAATGATCAATTGATCATTTTGATCATATTGGTAGTTCTGGCGTTAAACTTTTTTAAATCGAGCGATACGACAGGTCGATCTGAATCAGAGCCAAGAATCCAGCCACAGGTCGGTGCCAGTGCCAATGGAGAAGTTTTTTTTCGCCTCGAGATACTCGAGAGTAGCGAAGTAATTCGAGCTCGAACGACGATTCTAGAGGTCTCCTTCGAGCGTTCGAGAGGTTCGTCGCAGCGCGTTCTTCTTCCCTCTCCCGTAAACTAGCTCTCGCGGCCCCCTCGGTGATCGACTGCTCTCAAAGTGCTCCACCTCATTCTACTCTCGAGTGCTGTCCGACGTCGCCATTCATCCAGCTCGTTCCGGTCGACGTGGCCTGGTGCCGTTGCTTAATTCGCGAATATTTCACCGGGGCACCGCGGGCTGAAAATACACTACAGCTGCTCGCGTCGTGTCTACAACCGGGCCACCGTCGCGATTTTTCCGACATATTCCCGACGTGGCCCGTAAATTTCCGTCGTCGGTCCGTATTTTTACGTTCACGCCGGGTTCTCTTCGTCTGCGTCTTTTCGTCGGTATAATCCGCTTGGTAATTTCACTTCGGGGAGAGAAGGAAACGAGCAGATCGTACGATTTCATTGTTTCATGTTTTAACGATGTTACATGTTACAGACGGCGTTGCATTGGGCGGCCAAACACGGCGACGAGAACATTGTGAAGCTGATCGCGGGTACCTACAAGGATTATATCAAGAGCGTCAATGAAACTTCGGTGAGTGATATCGAGATATGCGTTTTCAAAGAAAATTCGTAGATCTATCCATCTTGTATTCTGTCGAAGTATATGACGCGAAGATTCAACGCGGGAGTTCGTTGGACCGTTTCTGTCTCAACTTTTCAAAAGCCTTAAAGTTCGTTTGAAATTCGTACGAGGCCATTCCCGCTGTTTTTTTTTTTTTTGCGCTGGATCGTACCACAATGACACCCCGGTAATATATCTCTTTTTTTTTTTAAGAGACATTATGCAAAGATGGGCGTATAAAGAGCGCGTATGGATTTTTTTAGTATCGTACGACGCCATCGCGAATAGACTTACGACCTATAAAGTATCCACGTATATGCAACTATTTTAACCTCTATCTCGTCAGGCAAATATTTTAAGAACTCTGTCTCGTCATAATCGATTCTAACTGTGTTCTCTTCTGTTTCCGGCGATTCTGCGAATCTACGATTCTAGAACGGGGTAAGTCCATCGACTTTTTTTCAATTTCAATTCATTGCCAACGCTCCACGTGCCAGAATTTAATTTACCGAACCGAAGTAACGGGGATCAGTTTACGAGTTACGCGAAAACGTTTTTAGAATCTGTATGCAAGAAGTATTGGCAGCACTGTCTTCAATTAAATCCAAAAAAATCGCGCCGATATTTTTCAGTAGTCGCTGTGCGTCTCTGTCCTCGTTGTATTTAGCGCGAAAAGAGACAGAAAGAAAAAGAAGGAAAGAAAAGAAATTGATCAACTCCCAGCCCTAACCTTCCACAACCTAAATCCATCCACGTCCCTTGCCACCTGGCGCGAGTGTCGCGAGCAGCGCGCGGGAGAAATAATAACGGCGGGAGGGCATCTAGGGAAAAAAGGGCGAGATCGATAAAGAGAGAAGCGAGGCAAGGCGAGGTTGGCTGCTGGCGGAATAAATCGAGCGAGCAGAGTATCGCTGTGGTATCTACCGTGATCTGTAAGTGGCCGGCGTGCGAAAGGAGCGCAGGACGCGCATTTAAGTGAGTTGCGAGAGCCCGCGCGTCTCTTCGTCGCGGCGGAGAGCAGCCGCGCAGTTTGTCCCCGTGGCAGAAAGGAAGGAAGGAAGGAAGGAAGGAACGAGAGAGAAAGTAGACGCAGCGTACAGAGAGAAGGTTGCAGATAGGATCGGATGTGTGTGGTCCGCCGCTTTGCTCTTTATAAGACTTATATAAGCTGGAGTGCCCTTCGCGGAGGAAGGAAAGAGGGCAGAAAAGAGACGAACCCGTGGAGAAAACGGAGAGGAGAGAAAAGGTTGCTCGTTAGTGGCTCGCGACAAACACCGCGCACGCTCTTAGCGAAGTAGATCGACGAAGATGGAGATTCAATTGGAAAGAAGAAGAAGAAAAAAAAAAAGAAATTCGTGGAAGTTATCGAAACTCGATTCGAAGCGATTCAATGGGAGTATTTGTAGTTGAACAGGAGCATTTCGCAGATTTATCACGAGGGAACGATTACGTGCTTTACAAGGTTCTTCCTGTACCAGTCCCTCTTCGCGAACAGTCTCAATTAAGGCGATTAACGCCGTAGTGGTCGTAGATGGCATCTAATCGCGATCATATTCGCGTCCGACGATGAATCTTTCGAAGTTTCTAAGCACGTTCGCGCGACCTGTTCGTTACTCGTTAGATTCGTTTATTATTTTCTCACTGACCATTTTAAAAAAAACTTTGGAAAACCCAAACTCGCATTGATCGTTGTTAATTTTTAAATTTCTCCGAGTATTTAGTACTGAGTCCTAATTAATTAATTAATTAATTGCCAACGTAAGGTGACAAATCGTGGATATGGATAATTGATTTAAAGATTTTGTCACCTGTACCAATATAACCCGTCAATAGCGACGGACAAAGGGAAAGGCGAAACGAAAGCTCGGAAAGAGAGGTCTCGACTCTTTTAAAACGGCAGCCGCGTCGGTCGAAGTACGCCAGGCTCTCTGTTTTCGGGGATTAGTGCTCGATTTAATAAATACGCGTGTATCCGTGTAGGTACCAACAACGTTGGCCCGGACTAATCCACTCCGGAATGGATCCGTCCTCTATCCGGCCAGCAGCTCTTTTTTCCTTCCAGCAGGGCGGCTTTAGCGGCAGACGGTGAATCGTGCGGCACAGCGTAATCTGTCACAGCCACCACTCTCGCCGTAGTTTTCTGCGGCTTATCCCAGCGGCCGCCTCGCCCGCTTAATGCCTTGGCAAATGAAAAAGAGGGAAAAACGTGGCGAGCCAGCCACCAGTCTCTCCGGCCGCGTCCCTGCGCCTCCCCGCAAGTCCGCGTATCCTTTCCGCCGCGATTTCGCGTCGTGTAATGTCCCATCCCTTTGAATCAAAGCAATTACGTTTACTCGTTGTTCTGTCGGAAGGGGGATTTTTTTTTTCTTTATTTTTCTTATTGTTGAAGAAATTGATTCGGAAGAGTATAAATGAGGTAGAATTTACCTTCCACTCGATTCACGTAACCTCGTCAGAAGTAAAATCTTCCGACTCGATCGAAACGAAGAACGGTCTCTCGTTCTAGCGATAGACACGTCGGACGAAATTGGCGGCGAGTGGTTCTTGCGATTGACCGGACGTTGAACGTTAGACGTCGCCGGGTATTTAGATGGCGGATTGGAGTCACGAGCGTAATCTGTCACCGGTACCGCTTCCAGCGTAGTTTTCTACGGCTTATCGCGGCATCGGCTCGCATTTAATCCCCGCAAAAAACGATGCCCGTTCCCCACGGGGACCGTAAGCCGCCCGTGTGGCGCCTGTATCCTTGCCAGGCGTACGACAGCCAACGACAATGGCGATCCCACCGGTAGACCCTCGAGATACCGGCGGAATCTGTCGCGCACACCGGGTGACCTATTTCGAAAGAACCCTGTAGAATCACGAGATCGTGCGTGGCATCGAGGAGTAGACACAAAAGGATACAGAAATGAGTGATTCTCATTTTACGTTCTCATTTGGACGCTGAATAAGTGTTCATTTTGCTAGGAAATTCCACGGCCGATGTTCTCTCTACGAATTAACTCGAGAGATTGCCGGTCGGCGAGAGGAGAGCGCATAGACTGTAAGAAAAAAAAAGGTGGGATCCGCGTTATAGGAGGCAATATCCGAGGGTGTCGAAATACAAAATGTCGGAATCTCGGCCGTCGGCCGGGGACGGGCCGTTATGATTTAGCTGCTCGTAAAGGCGGCTCCGATGTAGGAAAATATTAAAATTGAAAATCCTCAACGGTGATATACGCGTGCGTGATATTGGTGGCCGGCAGCTGTCCCGTTCCCGAAGGTTGCCGCCGAAGAAGAACGACGACACCCTTCGCGGCGGAGAGAAGGCGCAGAGACGGAAGGCGAGTCCTCCAGGATCGCGAGGAGAAATCTTTCGGTGTAACCGAAAGAGACGAGGCGAGGCGTGGGATGGGGCGATTCGGGGGGGAGGAGGGGGGGAGGGGGAAGAGAAAAGGGGTCTGGTGACGACGCGATATTGTCTCGAGACTCGGTGACTCCGCGTGTCGGGACAATGCTACTTTAAAATATCGTCGAAAGTATAAAGAGGAGACGGAGAAGAAGGGTGGGTGAGTCGCGGGGCGCGTGCTATATATGCGGACGAACGAAATAGAAAAGGGTGAGAAGAGAGTGAGCATGCGTGAAGGCATAGGGTGTCGCGCCACTTGTCGCGAGGACACACGTGTCGCACGCTATTGGAGTCGGGAAGGGGGAGAAAGGGTGACTCCGGCGAGTCACCCCATACGTGCCATTTCCTATTCCTGGCGTCGTTGTAACGCGCGGCCTTTCGCCCACCTATAACGCGGGGACTTTAAAGTGAAATAAATTAGAGCCGACGCCCGCCGAATAACTCTCGGCCTCTCTTCTCTCTTTTTCTCCCTCGTCCAGCCCCCGGATCCTCGACCCCTTTCGAAAACCTCTGCAGCAGCCGAGGGTTGTGCAGCTCTCGCCTCGGATAACGCCGTTCGCCTATGATCGCGGTTTCGACGCATTTGTCACCGCGTTTATTGCGGAATGCGATATTGAGAGAGATATACTACGGTATATATGTAGGGAGTAGAGGGCTGTTTATGGTGGTGCGTTCGGCACCTCGATTCAATTTTTTAGCCGTTCCGTTTCGCTTGTAACTTTGGAACACCGTTCCTCGCGTCGTCGACGTTGCAACTGGTGTTCGCTCTATCGAATGGATCGGGCCAAAACTTTCGCAGTTTATTTTAACTGCCGACTCGTGCACGGACGTGAAATGGTATACGGATTTCCAAATAGTAGCGGAATCCGTTCCCGTACATCGATCGTCGTTTTATTTCAATGGAAAACGCGAAATAAACTTTCGAACAACGCGAAATTGCGACGACGACGATTTACTCGATCTTGTCTCGAAGGCATTTCGAAAGATCGGTGATCCATCGCGGCTCTTACGCGGATCGTCCGCGTTTTCACCTCCGCCGGATAATCACCGGTGCACGCACACAATTACGCGCAATTTGTCGCACTTATCGAAGCGGACATCGTGAACGGCCGGTACGTGCTCGTAGCTGGTACCTCGCTTTCGTGAGTACCGGTTCACCGAGCCACCGCGTCGCGAGTTTGCACTTTGCATACGATATTTCAAGGTCGCGCAATTTTTATCCCCGCCACCGACCGCGGCGATCGACCCGCTCTCTTCTCAACCATGAATTTTTTTCAACCTGTACCGCTCCCTACGACACGTTTTCTTTTGGCCGAATTGTGATTAAAATCTTCTTTTTTTCTTTTTCTCTTCTTTTTTTTTTTTTTTCTTTTTTTGAAGTAATCTCTGCGTTCCAATAACTATTAAACCGACTATAAGACTGAAAGTGTCACGGTTATTTTTTGTCCAAGATCCTACGTTGTATCAACAGCACCAATCATGCCACTACTTGTACTCGTTTTTCGTCGATTACTCGATTTACACAACTATCACACCATCCGAACGACATCGTTACCACGTCTTGGAATATAGCCATCGTCGAGACCTTCGAACGATCGTTTGTACAAATCGTCGATCAAGCGCAATCTGCAACCGTAATTCCAACAGTAATCTTCTCGATTCTGCCGCGACACTCGCAAGAATTTTTATATTTCAATCGTTTTAATCGAAGGAGAACGAACGTAGAACGAGAGAGTGTTGTCTCTCACCTATAAACAGTTTCAAGATGCTGGGCCATCTTGGCCGAAAAGTTCACTCGAAGAGCGAGTCCACCTTCTCATTTTCTTCGCAGGTACTTGCTCGGCTCGATTCGCTCGGCCACGCGGTCCGCCTGCTAAATTATTCAAAAGATCAGAATCTTAAGGGCGAGCTGCTGAATTATTAATCTATAGGCGTTATTGGGTGCGTGTGCGGTTATCTCGATACCGGCACGCATTAGTCAAACGGGTGTTGGCGATCGGGCCGGTTCGGCTACGCGTGCATCTTCGACCTGGTATTGTTGATATCTTTGTAAAGGCAAAGAAGCGGATCAAAGGTGTGGCAGGTGTATCCTGCGCGACCGAGGAAAAGCGGCCCCTGTCTCACCTGCCGCCCTCCGCGCGATACTAATTGCCAGATAACGTCCCTCCGATGTTCCATTCACCGCGACACGATTTTATGTACCATCGATCCCGCGCTATTTCACACGCGTACACTGCCCTTCATAAATATTTGCAACATCTTGGACATCTCCACGCAAATAAATAGCTTTGGAAAGTGATCACTGAATTTTAATATCGATGCTCTTTCTTTAGTGGAATAAAAACCTGCGGACGCATTCATTGCGTTACGCAAAGATCGAAAGCAACGCTTTCCTCGTAATTTTACCAACAGCCGATCGAACGATCGGTTCAAAATCGGCTCGTTGTTATTTCTTTCGTTCATTTAACTCTTGTTAAAGAAAATGCATCATTTCTTTTCTTATTATCGAAAAGTTATTTCATATATTAAATTTGTTTCATATATTAAATTGACAGCTATCAGTATTCCTTTCGATTTTCAGAAGTTCAAGGAATCAGTCTTGAGTCAGAAAATGTTCAGAGACGAAGCAATTTGTAATGTCCTGTAATTTCAGGAGCATTTCGAAGAGTTTGTCGCTACCGAAAACCAAGACTTCTTCCAAAAGAGTATTTTTTTATTAGAATCCCCTTGGAAGAACGTAACGAATGCAAATGATTCGATTAAAGTCGAGAATAATTTTCAAAAATTTGGTATTATTCACAACATAATCTTTCTTCTATAAAAATCCGAGATTTCATACGATACGATCAATTGCATCAAAGTGTCCACCTTTAAGACCCTGTTGCATCCTTTTCTTTGTACGTTTATGTCACGTTGTGATGCACGAGGGTGCGAAAGACGTTGGTTCGGTATCATATTTGCATCGTGATTGCCTGTCGCGCGTGTATCGGGGGAACTGCGATACTGTTGCAGAAGGAAGAACCTGTTATTAGAGCGCGATGAAGGATTATATTGTCGTGGGACGAGTGTTGCAATCCTTGCGACGGACAGTCGCTTTTGTTTTAACTTCCCTTTCTCTCTCTCTCTCTCTCTCTCTCTCTCTCTCTGTTCGATGGCAATGAGATGCGTATTGTAGTAGGTTAGGATTAATCGCTGGTGTTTACCGTTCTTTTGTACCTGTCCAAGTTACAGAGTAATAACAACTGCGGTAAGAAACTCGTCAAGTATTCGTAATATGTAGCAATTTCCCAACTCGAGTTCTTTTAACCATTTTCTAAATTGTTAGTTTTAGAGGGCTTACATTTATTAATGGTTCAATTATGCCATCAGGCATACAAATGTATGTATTCTCTCGTACCATCGTACATCGGCGATCTGGATCATTTATATCCAAATCTAATTTTATCCTAAATATTCATAAAAGAAACAGAGTCAATGTAAAAGAAAAACATGACCATATAATTTTTATCCATTATTTATTGATATATACATTTACGATACGTCTACATTTACGAGAATATACTGTACACCATTCAGTGTAATAAGCTACGAAAACCATTTCTTGCAAGATTTTCTTCTATGTTTTTGCTGTGGACAGCTCCAACACTAATCAGTCACTAGTTAAATTAACACTAATGAAACAAGTTCTTGTTATTTTTTTTACAGTGGAATAGTTGACGACGAATTGAATGTACATACGTCGTTTTGTCAAGTAAAGCAGGCTTGAATCATTCGGTGGTCAATAATTACAATTTAAGAATAGGTGAAATTTGATCGATTTCAATTATTTTACGAATCAGAGACAATTCAGCGAAAGTGAACGTATAATCAGGACCCTCAAAGTATTATGTAAATCAGTCTTAAATCTTTAGCGACACGAGACAAAATTTTTTTATCAACAGGTAGGACGATGCTGTAAAATAAAGTAACGGTGAAGAGCCGGCAGAGAGAAATCCAGCGGCGAACAGCCGGATGAAAGTCGGAAAGTTCATGCGTGCCCCGATCTGTCCGTCGCACGCAAAGGTTCGTTTTCACGGCATCGCGTTTCAATCTCCTGGTTCGTGCACGCACGCCGCGCTACGAGATAATATTGTTGCGTCGCGGAAACGCGAATTCGCACGCTCCGAATGATATTCATAATACGACGCCATTAATTCCTCATTGTCTCCGCTTTTTCTCCTCGCGTGAATTCTTTTCCATCTTCGCGTCGTCCTCCCCTTCCACTCGAGTTTCCTCGAGGGCGAGAAAATAGCCGCGCAGCGATAACGCATCGATGCGACGAGAAGAGTGGCTCGTTGCGTGCGCTCGTGTTCTCTTTTTCTTTTTTTTCTTTCGCGAAGAGATAAAACTAGATCCTCGTTACGCGATTCTGGTTGTGTGGCAAACGATCCTGGTCAATCGTAAAGCTTGACTCGCGACTCGAACTTTTTCCAGGGATACACGCCGTTACACATCGCCATGCAGTTCGACCACGAGAATATCTTCAATCTGTTGGTTCAGGTGTACGGTGAGTCCGTGGCATTGCAAATTGCAGATCCACAGTTTCCATTGTGTTGTTTTAACTGCGTAATTGCAGCTACGTATAAATGTAGCGCCGCTGTACGCAACTATCAGTAATTCATCTCCGTGCATTTTGAACGATTTATTTATTAGCGAGAAAGGAAACTGTGCAATTGATGATTGCGTTCTGCCCGCTCGAACGCGAATATCGGGTATTTGAATCGAAACGAGAATACACGAGAATACGTTTAATCCATCGGTTGGTTATTAATGCTCGGAAATTCATCGAGTTATCTCCGTCTCTTCTGATCGATCGGTCGATTTATCGTGCGTTGGAAAGCTATCGATACGATGTCAGATCTTAAGAAAACAAATTGTCTTATATAATAGTAAATGTAAAAGTTTAATCAAAAAAAAAAAAAAAAAAAATTGAACGAAATTGTACAAAAATTGAACGATTTCTCGGGCGTATCTTGCATTTTGTTTTTCGCGCGATATTTACAGGTGCGAACCAAGAGGTACGCGACTACAGTGGAAAGAAGGCCAGACAGTACTTGGTCTCCCAGGAGGCGGCCGTCAGTCAGGACACCTTCCGCAGTAAGTATTTGCGCTCCTTCGATGCAAATAAACTCAAACCGATGCGAAAGAAAGGATGAAAGAGGAACAAAAACGGGGTGGGGGGAGGGGAAAGAAAGAAAAGAATAAATACAATTTATTATCCGCGTAAAAGCGCAATAATTGACTCGTAAATGCGAACGCTATCGAGCCGCACGAACAAACGATGCTATCGACCAGCACCGTAAATGAGACCCGTCAAAGTTTCATAATATTCGCGCGAGGGGAAGCTCGTAACGTTTACGCAAATCGCCGAGTAAATTACCCCCTCCCCTTTTGTCTGTACTCTTTTATCATGCCGTATTTTTCTTCCTTTTTTTCTCCGTTTTTATTCACTTCCTCTTGTTCGCCGTTGAAAACCCGAGAGAACGATCGTCGCCGCCGATTTTTTCCCTCTTCCGTTGCGCGGTTATCTCGGCAATATCGATGGTCTATTAATTTCGCGTTAATCGCGAGCCTGAGAAAATCGCGTCAATGCCACGAGCAGATAGCATTGTCGCCCGAACAGCGAGGCGATTAAAGTTACGCAACGTTATAAGAGTCGAACCGCTCCGGGGGACCCGAGGGGGAAAATACGCCCGCGCGTATGCTTCCCTTCTAACGAGGATTCCCCTCGTTCGTTTCGATTGTATTTTAAAAAGCATCCGCGTTCCTGTCGACTCGATTCGAAATAAATGATTCTTGCGGTACCGGATCGTTTGAACCGCGAATACGCTACGGGCTAAAAGAGGTGAGCTTGAAATCCAAGCTCCTTATCAAACTTATCGAAAAATAATATACGTGCTTTGTACGTGCTTTTAGCTCGCAGTGTTTAAATAGATTAATGAATAACATGAGACACAGGTATTCCCTTCGAAGAAATTTATTTAAAATATATTTAAAATACATCTTTGCGTATATCATTACAAGTTACAAGTCATAACGGGGAATGACTTGAGAATCTTCCCCTAATTCGATACCTCTCGATTATTCCCTCCGGCTCTAGCTTGATTCGTACGATCCGAAATAATTCGCGATTTTATTCAAGTGGGTCTCCTACGAGAGAGAAGAGACACAGCGTAATAAAATACGGATGCTCAATCGTCGCGATAGAGCAATTACAGGTTACCGCACCAGGTAACACCGCAGTTTGCACCGCTTTTACGCGCTTGATTCTGATTCAGCCTCGCTCTTTCTCGCAGCCTTCTATTTTCATTGTCAGCTTTCTTTTAATCGTGCGCATGTCCGTCCCGAGGAATTCGCCCCTGCCGTGCCTCGGCGACGTTTGCTTCCTAGTTTCCATATTCTTTCCAAGGGAGCATGCGAGTAATCTGCATGAGGCGTTTAACTAGTTTGCATCGACCATACACCTTCTCCATCTTCCCTTTTTCATCAGAAGCAATTAAGTTTGCAGCTCTTTTCTCTATCCATCCGTATTGGATTTTGCTCGAGCGAAGAGATCTCTATGGAGAGATACACATTTTCTTCGGGACTCTTCGTTTCTTCACTTGTGTAACAAACTTCATTCTTGAATCCTTTTATCTTGTCTTGTCATTTTTTGATAACTATTTAAACGAATGTTGGCTATCTTAAAATAATACGTACGATGTCATTTTCTTCCCTTTTTTTTTCTTTTACTTGAAAATGCAAAACTCGTTCTATCTCAAAAGTGAAGGGCAAGCGTTTCATCTGAACGCATCTAAAAATAATCTCAAAAGAATCTTGTACATCTCGTTCATTTCTTTCAAGAGCTTGACATTTCTTTCTACACTTGAACGAATAATCGACTAATTTCATTCAACAATAATAACGTGCCAAATTCTCGCAAATGATTTCCCATCATCCCGCAACCAAAAAAAAATCTTCATCGAGATTAATCCTTCGTAACGAGTGATGGCAAATTGACAGCATGCTTGCTTTTCTAAACGTTAATCCTCGCTCTCGTGAGAAAAAGGTAAAAGGTGTATTGTCCACGTGTGGCGACCACGCGATCGAAATAGACGGCAATGGTAGGAAATGGTTTTCGGGCTCTCTCTCTCTCTCCTCTCTCCTCCTCTGTCCTCCTCTGTTCTCGGTGAGTATCGGGGCTCTGGAAGTATTCTTCTGTTGTAGGGATTACTGCTGCCGCTACGCTCAGGCAAGTTCAGAAGCACACCTCTGCTAAAGTAGTAAAGCGCTTGTGTCGCAAGATTAAAGTAGCCGCACCTTAGAGTAACGTATGACTGTCACTTTTGTCGACGCTGACGTGAGTATTGCGCGGAGAATCCGCGGGTCCACTTCGCGTCTTTTTCTGTTTCCTTTTTTTTCTTTCATTTTTAACACACTGCGCGCGAGATCGAGAGATCTCGACGGTCTACGACAAAGGAGGAAACTCTCCGATATTCTGGCTTTATGTGTGTATTACTTTTCTTTTTTTTTTTCGTTTTATCTCGATTGGTATTCGATAATCGGTGGACCCGTTCATTCCCGAAATTCCAATGGAATCGTGTATGTTCAGTACTCGTGACTCCTCGCTTCGATCTTTTACTCGTCGATTCGCACACCGCTGAATGTAAGCGTCCTGTCGTGTCTTCACACGTGCTCACACATATGTATTCGTAACCGTGAATGAAGTCGCGAACAGCGGCTGTTGCGAACGCGTGAATGTTTCGTTAATTTTATCCGTTTGACGATGTCGCGTTGCTATTGATGGAACGTTGCGCTTGTCATCGAATGCCTCGACGTAATGAAATCGCACTTGTGTAACGATCGATGCGTAGTACTCTCGAAGCTTGACGCAATACGCGTGCTATACTTGAAATAAAACGTAATGGTATAACGAGCATAAATCCTCGCCTCACGTTGTCTCCAAACGATTTGTCTTTGAACGAAATTATTTTCGTTTCAACGATCAATCCAAGTGGCAGTAGTACCTGAAAAAAAAAAAAAAAAAAAAAACAAGACTCCCAGCACCGTAGAAAACGAATGTGATTTAACCCTGTCGGCCGACGATGCGAACATTTCCTGAACGCCGTGATTTCATTTCGTTCGATTTTACACGTTTACGCTCTCGGCCGGTCACGTAAGGCGAGAATCACTCAGGCCTGTTTCACATCGTCGGCTAACGACAATCGTCACTGTTTTTCTTTGTTGCCATTTCACTATTCACCGCGTCTATGTAATAAAGCATGCGTACGCGAGCATGAGAAAATCTGCCGATTTCCCTCGTCCACATCCACGTCCGTATTGCGCGTTGCACTTTTGCGTCTCATTGTCAACAAATTAAAAACCGATCGTCTTAACACATATTCACTTCACACGCGTTGATTCTACGCAAGTTCGTTCACTCTTTCGAGCTTCAGTTTGGCGAAACACGCGAGAAGATCGACTTCCCGCCGGAAGGCGGTCAACTTCGCGGGAATCGACCTCGAAACGACATCGACTTTGTGTCTTTAAATATCCACTTTAGATTAAATATCTCGGCACATCGTCGTCCTGTTGCATTACACGTTCCGTATAAAGAAAAAGTCAGTTGAATCGTATAACCGAACGAATTCATCTTCCGTATTTGATCCGCGTGGAAATAGTTTCCTTTCAGATAACAATCAGTGCCTGGTAACGTTCTAGCAGGATTTAACAGCCAACAGTTGGCTGCTTAAGTTTTTTTCTACATCTCGTACACTTTGTCATTTTGTTATTCACTCGAACAAGTACAATACAAGAATTATTCTTCGTCGTTGATGATTAGTTTACTTAGCTACACTTTCCATTTCTTGCGAAAGCGTTTAGAAATTAAAATTATCACAAATTTTACAAATACGTAGAGCCTCTTTCACTCGGGTAAATATTTCAACGAATTTCGACATTGCTGATCGTTGTTAATTCCACGACACTCGACGTGTTGATTAGACAAGCGATTTCGACAGTGTTGCTCTTTTTCATAGGTCACGTTTAGAAACTTCGAGTCGATCGTTATCTTACCAGGCACTGAGGTATCTCTAGATCTCCTTCATTTGTTATTAACCAACGACGACAGCTAGCAAACACACGGCAGAGACTGTCGTTCTAACGTTTTCTAACCACGACGACTAATTTAACGTTTAGTGTAATTCCGGCTTTCTGACAATTCTTAATAAACACTCTGTGTCTATTAATCCTTGACACTCTTCTATCTTGACGCCCGCGCACGCCGAGGCCTTCATCAAGACAGTCTCAAATGATTTTCTATTTTATTTCAGAAATAAAAGCAAGGAAAAAGCATGCAGGTAAGAAATAATCCGCATGGAGAGATTACTAATTAAATGGAACTATAGTTTAGTTAGTGCATGCGTTGGGCCGTTCTGTAAAGTAGTACGACACGTTGTTCGGTACAGTGTTTCTTGTTGTTAGTATCTCTTTCAACTTGGTACGCTGCTATTTGTTTCTATTCGCAGTGTTATTCTTTCTGCCGAAAATGAAACAAGTGAAAAAATAATTAATAGAATTCGCATTGGTTGCGTAGCGTTTGGAGTTTCTACTTGAATGAAAACATGTTCAGTTCAGTGCTGGATTATTTCGTGGCTGAAACGGAGAAAATTGGTGGACGATTGTAGGGATTGATTAGAATTATCAATCAAAAACCACGTAAAATTAGATTGTTAACCCTCAAAATTTATGTAGAAAAATCCATGATGAACTACGTTTCCAACAAAGATTTGATGTATACTTCTGCCAATCTTCTCCTTTCTTATAGACAAATCTCTATTTTCGAATTGATACAATCACCCCTTATAATTCATTTATCCTTCGCGCAGGTCTACATATTTCTATACAACTTGCCCTTTAAACATCATCTAAAAAACTTACTCTATATAACTAAGAACTAAACCTATCCTATTCCAACACTTGTCTATCTAAAGTCACTACAAGAAATATTAGTCGCACATATCCTTACTTTTCAATGAAGCACCTTTCTGTCGAATTCTACGTTTTACTTTCATAGTATCGAATATTTTTCATATGGTATTGCCAATGGTGTGCCAATACTCTTTGCCACTGCAAATGCCAAGGAACTCCCTCTACAAAAAGATAGCTTCAGCTCTTCGATCATCCCTAAACTTCGAACCTAGCACCCTTCATCGGTAGATGCATGCGACACGAACCGAATTTCAAACACGAGGGACGTTCCAAAGAGCAACCAGTGCGAAAGATGCACACTGTCATCGCTTCGGTTGCCAGTAGCACGACGCACAGTTGGCTTAGGAAGCGTGATTTAGAAACGAAGTTAAACGCAACGAGGAACGTACCAATACGCGCGGCAAGCGTTTACCAACTACGATGATTGCAACGCGTGGTAACACGATGATTGATTGAACACGCAGAGAAAGATCTTGGTTTCCTGCGTATTGGCTCGCTGAACGTACGCGTGAAACGTACGACGGAAGCGTTCAGCCAGTTCCTGGGTGTGGCAACTAGCAGCAGCGCCAGCAGCAGCAACAACGAGAAGATACACAAGAGCTGGGGATCGGCGGATAATGTGCAGGTAGAGGAGAGAAAAAGGGACGAGATCGCGTTCTCGAAAATTACCCGATACACCCGGCCTCCTTTGCTTAACCCCCCTATAATTATACAACCCTTGGACGAGCATTCGCAACCACTGTATCCCTCAGTCCCCTTTCTAAACCCTTGTTGCATGAATATTATGCGACGAAATCGCCAACACGTTTAATATTAACACTCGCTTTCCACAGGTAGCGAGGTGAAATTTGCGCTTTGTTTTCACTCATAAGTTGCAAATTTCTAACAGGAGATCACTAATTTTCAGTAATTTTGTTTGATTAAAATTCTCTATATTATGATATTTTATATCATCTTACGCATAAAACGTTTTAAACGTTTAAACTTTACTTGAAAGATGCAAAAAAAAAAAAAAATGAAAACATGGTAAATTATTTTAATTGAGTTTTCTTTATGCTCCTTTACTATGTCTTTAGTATGTTTTATTTTACTCATTTTATTATTTCATTATATCAACCCAACGTTCCAAAAACTTCGTCCAATGGTTGTACTACGTTTCTCTCGGGAACTGAAATCTTTCTTTTGATTCTCGCGTGAAGCTGGATCAGAAAATGATGCCACCGCCAAAGTACGCACCGATCAAGAAGAGGAGGAGCCGGCGAGCGCAGGATTTCGGATCGTCGCGGAATCACCAGGCTGCCAGTCAACCAACCACACCGCTCCTTCAGGGCAAGGTTTCTCGGCCAAGTCAGTCGATGCATCGTCGACCAACTTCCACAACAGTCATCAGTTCCGCCGCGCCCAAGTCGCAGCAGAACGACTCGGACTCGGATACCGCGTGTGGCTTCGATTCCGCCTGGAGAGGATCCGCTCAACTCTAGGAGAATCTTTCTCACGAAGATTTTTAGCCTTTAGTATCGCGAAAACCCGAGGCTTTACTCAATCACCGTGTACCTTGCCTTCTACTCTTCTTTAAATAATCTTTATCTTTTTCCCCGTTTATTAATTGGTCAAAATCGGGTGAATTTAGAAAAAGACTGAAAAACAGATTGTTAGAGTTAAAAAAAAAAAGTAACGATAATGGTATAATTGATTAGCCTAGGTGTTAGACATATTTAAAGTGAATTACGCTTTTCGTGAATTATAAAACAATGAGGAACAAGGATTTGAATTTGTATTGAGATTCTAAAATTACAAAGATCTCTGTGAAAGATCACCTGTCGTACCAATCGACCAATTGACACAACGATTTGAAAGGAATTGATTTTTAAAAAAGACTATTATAATTTCTCGACGATATTTTCTTACGTTACAGAAACGATATGCTCTTTAATGTAATCGTTACCGTAGGTTTTGTGCCTTAATTTAACACTGGGAAGCAATGCTTTAGGTTTACAAATGTGTTCTCTGCACAAAAGCCAAATATATATTTTATCGTAAGCGTGAAAGCAAGATTGCAATTCCTTTATACAGGGTGTATTGCGCACAATTTTTTGTAAAATATTTTTAAGGATGTAACTACACTTGATGTACCTAAGTCGTAGTGAATAGAAATTGCAATATCGTTCTCATATTATTAATAAAGATATTAAATATTTGATCGTAGATTTTCTAAATAAATTGTATAAATATTTGTTTGAAATAATAATAAATAATTACTTGATTAACTGTAATCGTACACGTATTTTCAGATAGATTTATCAGAGGTATTTCATGAAATTTAATAAGTAATAAGCGCGCCATCTTTTTGTGTATTTTAAAATTAGTTTCACTTGCAAGTTCTTGTACTTTATTCTAGATGTCGCATAATTATATTGCCAATTCTATTTACCGATATTAATTTTGAAAATATCAACAGAGTAATTTGGAAATGACATTCTAATGCATTAAGAACAAAATGAATAATTAATTTGCATTCTATCTATATACACATAGAACTTTGCATCTTATGGGACTTCGTGTTCCATGTTCTGAAATATCGACATAGCAAAAAAATCAATAGCTTTTTAGCGCACTCTAGGCTCAAATCACAGACAAGATATATGAATTGAATAAAATAAAGAAAAAAAAATTGTATAGCAGATTTTAAGAACTCGTTAATATTCTAATCTTCAAAATTATGATGAATTTAATCATAAAAAAATTTTTCAGGTAATATTCACTTAAAATATTAATTTTAAAAAATATATAAAGAAATAAGGTTATCTTTTTCTTTATATATTTTTAAATTACAGACTTTTAATTAAATTATTATTAAAGTAATTGTAGAATGATATTGAAACTTTGAATTTTAATAAAGATACTAATGTAATTAATATTAATTGTAATTGGTAACAATTTATTTAATTTTTACTACCTGTTAATATCAGTAATTTGCCATTAAATGGAGCCACCATAACAAAAATAAACTCTGTGAACAATTTATATATATTACGTCAAAAATCAACATAATATTGCACGGAGAAAATTTCTATGAGTTAAAACTTTAATCTAGATCTTAGAAAATTCGAAAATTCAGCTTTTATTTTGTCAAATTAGATTTTTTAAATTTATTGTAAAGAGATTCTACTATTTCTCCGCTAGATGGTTATAGCGTTGTGGTGTCCATGAAAGCAAACTTTGAAACTAAAAGAAAAATTAATTTATGAAATTTTATAATTGTATATCCTTAATATATATTGTTTTATCTTTATGAATGTTAAATACTTAAACTATAAATATAATTTAACTGTGGCAATCTAATATCAGTTAAAGTTAAAGGATTATTTTCAAACAACAAAATATGTAGGGTTAACTTGATTTTATTTAACAGAAATATTAATTTTCTTCTTAAAAAGAAATTACCTCTTCCGAATCATGTACGACGTATATCATCCTAGTGTAAGTGTAATGGCATTTAAATAATTTTTAAGCATTAATCCTAAACTAAACTAATTTACTTTAATGCTATTAGTATTATAATATTGGAAAGTTGGGTTGTACTGATCCTATAAAAATAAGTACAACATTTTATGTTTATATTGAATTGTGTGAAGCAAAAAGATATTGGGAAGTTAATTACAAATACAATGAAAATCTCGATTTGTTATATTTGGAAGTAAAAAAAAATAAAAATTCACAAACAGAAGTATATGTACCTTGGCCAACGTCATCCAACATCTCTCTTGATATGATCGAAAAGATACAAAAAGATTTAGATATTGAACAGTAAGAACAAAAATTATTCATATACTCTGACACTCACGTGATGGTGATTTATTTAATTGATGTATGTATTTTGTAACAGGATAACCCTTGTTTTTAAATTGGAAGATAGCACAAGCATTATTTACAAAGTTAGCAAAGGTCTTGTGAAACCTATAAGTCCAGAAAAAACTAAATTGATGAAAGAGAAAGAAGAAAAGAAATTAAATTTAGAGAAAGAAATAAGGAAAAATACTTCATATTTGTATGAGCTAGCAAAGTCCTTAAATACAGAAGATGCTAATAAGGATGATTCAAATATAAGCCATGACAATAAAATGATAACTGAATAAAATATTTTATTAATTTTTTGAATTCTTTGAAGATTAGGATTTTTTAAAAAAGTAGGTATAAAATTATAAGATATTTTCCTTAAATATTTATTATTGAAAAAATTGTTGTTTAATATGTATATTATTTCTATGCTTGAAATATAGTAAAATTGAAAAGACTTACTAGATATTATGTAACTATTTAAAATGATATGTATTAAGCTGCCATTGCAATTGTGGATATTAAATAAATTATTGCTTAAGACATTTTATAAGCAGTTTCTATCTTAACGCATTATCTACATGATTTAATAAATATTGCAAGTATGAGGCACATGCTGTTTCATTACTTCCTACTACCTGTAAATATAATGAACATTCTAAACTAAGATCAAAATTTTTATGTTATTTTGTATATATAAAAATACGTAACGAAAGTATATTTTAACAAGGTTTCTACTCTGAATGTTAAAAATATATTTATCTATAAAAAAAAAAAATTGATGACGTATGATTTATATACAGCTTTAAATTATTATTCTTTGACCAACACTTCATTTTTAACATTTTAATATGTATAAAGAATGTTTGTAAAAACTACTTGTGTGTTTTATCTTAATATAATATTCTTTCAGATATATTTATCCTATATTTAAATATACGTATGTATTGTTTAACTATTATAAAGTATATAATTAATACATTGACAAGAAAATATTGATTAATATAAAATGCTTTTGGCAGTTCGACACTAGATTAATATGAATTACGTACTAGATATGAAATATAAAAATAAACGTTTCTTAATTATTAATAAAACATCATATCTTTATTTTTATTTCAAATTTTTTGAAAATTCGATCGAAATCAAACAATTTATGTTGAAATAGAAGTGCTTAATATGGACAACGGAGGTAATTTTATTCTAGAAATTCTGTTTCCATATTTTCTTGTCATAGTAGTAAAATATAATGTTTTAATGTCCGTATATATTTTAACTAAAATTGTATTATAGCTATTCAATTGAATTTTTAAATCTACATATGAGAGTTGTATAAAAACAGGCACATTAGAAATAATGTGTTACATGAGCACCTCCGTATAAACAGGTCTCCATTTCTAATAATACACAAGATCTTGGTATAAAATAGTTACCAAACAGTTATTGATTTATTAGTGCATTAAGGCAACTAGAATTCGAGCTGTACTCGAAACTATCACAAGTGATGCGATTATTTTTCTGTTTTACAATTTTAAATACTGTTTTTAAAAGAATGATTGATTAATGATCTCAAGCTTATATGACTAAGTTTATAATATAAGAAAATTTCAAATGAAACCATTTGACATTACTATCACAATACTCCAATCAGTAAATATTATGATCGATTATTTATGTTATCGTTCTTCAGACATATATTGTTTTACGGAAATTTAATTTAAATTTATGTAGACAAATTAAATATTATTTAGGTTCCATTTAAAAAATTCTTTTACATAAAACTTATAACTGTTAAATGGACGAACTTGATGGATTGATAATACAGTTACAAGGGAAATTAAAACTATAAGTATGTGCTTTTTAATTTAATTAAAGCATTAATGTATTACTATTATTGATACTTTTGAAAATAGAGAAGTTGTGAGTTTACTATTTTAAATAAGCTCATATAACGTGGAAAGAAAGAATTCTAAAAGGGCATCAAAATAATGTTAGTAGAAAATTCTTTCAACACTAACGCATAATATATATGTTTGTGATGATTGTACAGGACAGTTAATAATTATTCACTAAACCAAATATGCAAAGAAAAAAAAAAAGAGAATACACTACAGTAATGTGTAAAATGTAAATATGGTTACTAACAGTATGTTTGAGATGTTATTCTGATACAGTATTGTATAACATATCAAGCTAAACTATTGTACTTGTATTCTATAAATCTTATGCATTATTACTTTTCAATGTTTGGTTACATATTTACAAAGTATAACACTAGAACACAACAAATATTCTATCACATACTGGAAACATGAAAATATATAACTAATTAACATAGTAAAATAGATGGGAGAATTATAGGAATTATAGGACCTGCAAAAGTTTGTTCATTAAAGGAAAGGAAATAAGAATAGGGACACTGTAAAGTTAATTGTAAATAACTGGTCGTGTTAATGATTAGGTACACGTGACTAATATAATTAATGCGCCCAGTGTTAACTTGTGATTATGTTGATCAACATTGTTATACATAGTGCCATTTCTTCATTCAATTCCCTATCACATGAGCATGAGCAAATACAACTATGTTTTGATTTATTTTCTGCATTTTATGAATTATAATATGTTTATACAATGGATATTCTCTGTTTTATAAGAATACGATTGTTGAGTACTTGAAAACTATATAAAAATGAGTGTGCTAAGTGAAAGGTATGAAATAATACTTTAAATAGATATCATTTCAAATATTTGGTCAATATTTCGAATCATGATTGTGAGATCTAGTATCTTTTAATTAAATGGTATAAATCTTCAAAAATTTAAATTCGAAACTACTACTTTTTATCAAAATATGAACATGCTACAAAAGTACTTGTATAATTTATGTTTCTTTTCTGGTCTTACAGTTGATTAAATTGATTACACTCAGGTATTTTAAACAATTATAATTATCTACTACGTTGCATATTGGAAACAATAGTGATGAATGTATAACTACGAGTTAAAAGTCTGACACATTCATAGATACATTAATTAAAAACCTGAGATTCGTTTGTTGAACATAATTTTTTTAATTCTATATGCCTGATTATATCATGATACTAAAAATAAAACATTTGTACAATAGATAACATTATGAAATGTGGAACATATTCTGACAATTAAACAAATACATATATAACTGATGTTATTAATTACGATTTGATTGCCCCTAAAATGATGTTGAAAACAATAAAATGCTAAATGATTTGCGTATCAAATTTAACAAAAAGACAATTATTATGGCTAGCACCAGTCAGCCATATACGTAAAATCTTTAAATAGATTTTGTTCTGAATCACTAAGTGGTCTAGGATCTTTAGGTGGAGTTAGTTGCGGTTTCTCCGATGTAAATTCTTCATCAAAATTACTGACATCTTCCACAGAATGCTGAAATATAAACATAAATACTATTTACTACCAAATGTATGAACTACCGTAAAAATGAAATGGGGAAAAAATTAATACTTACAATTACTGGAACAAATGGTGGTTTTACTCGTCTTAAAAGTAAATCATCCCAAGCTATATGCCAGAAGAACGCTTGTTTCTTGACATCTTCAGCATCTCTTTCGCTACTACCCAATCTTCTAGCAGGATTTTTTCTTAATAACTATAATTAAACATAAATAATGTAGATGATTGGTATTTTATTTATTACTTTATTGGTAGAAATATATTTATATTACCCTTCGCATTATTGCAATTGCTTCTAAAGAGAGAAATCGTGGATAACGAACTTCATCGTTCACAATGGAATCAAAAACTTCTTCCTCATCGTCACCAGGAAATGGTGACTAAATAAGAAAATATTAATTGGTACATGATCTAATTTACTCAATTTAATAAATTAAATTAAGTAAAATGCTTACTTCACCGACAAGCATTTCAAATATTAATACACCAAGACCCCACCAGTCAACAGCACGTGTATATGAAGTTTCTGTAAGAACCTCGGGAGCTAAAAATTCTGGAGTACCACAAAATGTTCCTGTTCTATCTCCATATCCCATTCCCTCTTTACACAAACCAAAATCTGCAATTTTTACATATCCTTCTGTATCCAATAGTAAATTATCTAATTTTAAATCTCTGTAAATTTAATAAAATTATTAGCGTATTTGAAATAAAATCTCACAAATACTTTTATTTAAATATTTACCTGTAAATAATTCGACTTTCATGTAAATATTGCAACCCTAATACAACGCACGCTGAATAAAATACAGCTCGTGGTTCTCCAAACACATCTGCGTGTATATGCATCATAAGATCCCCTCCAGCTGCATATTCCATTACAAAACACACATGCGCCTATAAAGAATAAAACTTTAATTTTCGATATTCTACCTATGATATATATCGTGAACATAAATAAAATAATATATACCTCAGTTTGAAAACAAGCAAATAGATTTACAAGGAAAGGATGACGCGTAGCATTGGCAACTTCAAATATTCTTTTCTCTGAAAGTAATGACTCTACTTCATCCCTCGCTATTATATCTCCTTTTTTCAATGCTTTGATTGCAAAGTATTCTCCTGTATTTCTATATTGCGATAGAATTACTTTTCCAAAATGACCACGGCCAAGAACTGAGAGTAGTCTAAAGTTTTCTATAGTCATTCCAGTAAGTTGCGAATGTCTTCTAGATTCGTAGGCACTGTCTCTATATTGAGCAGGCTTATTCGGCATTTCATACACAACCTATAATCGTTAAAATGTTTTACTTACTAAAGTACCATAAGATATAATGATTAGATTTTAATTAAAAATCTTTAGTTTTAGTACAATGCATACGTATATTAGTGTATTTCAGAAATAGAATTAATTTCATTTATTAATGGTATTCTTACTATTTTATATAGAAAAACCCCTAAAGCTGTTGAATAATCAAGTATTTGCAACATTAGCGTCAAGATCACATGTATATAATATAAAATGTGCAATATTTAAAGCCTAGATACGTAATATGCATACATAGACATGCAAAAAATTTAAGTACATGCATTTTGTAAAAAAATTATTAACATAATAAAAAATTAGTTATATTCTGTTAATTTAATAAAATAAATTACAAGAACTTAAAAGAGCAATTTTATACTTAACGCGTTAGAAATATAGATGCACAAAAATTAAAAAAAAAATTAAAATAAAGCTGCGTGTATTGGAGGTATGTACCTCATCTTCAGGAAACTCGACGACAGGTTGGGGCGAGGGTGTGCGTGGAGAGGTTGGTGCAATCAGCACAGCACGAGGCTCTGTTACGAGAGGCCTTAAATTTGCCCCCTGAGGACCCCCCTTTTCCTCGTTGTGCAGGAAATCAAACTCCCTTAACGCACTCTGTAACTACATTACTATCTGCTTACTGAAAGCTACTTTTAATTGTAATATACTCTAAACTGTAATATACCAAAGTTTTATGTGATAAAGTAATAATGAATATTACAAATCGGATAATTTACATACTGAGAAAACAAATAGATCCAATTATTGAAGGGAGTTTGCTGCAACTCTGAAGAAATACTATATATTGCACAATGCACATTGCACGTTACAGTGTACCTTTTTTCACGTTGATGCTAAACATTATGCTAAAACAGCTATGCATAAAAAGCTAAGGATTAAAAATGATATATAAACTTAAAATAAGAATAAACAATAAATTTGTACATTTTAAGCATATAACAAGTTGCTGCTCATTATAGATTGCATTCTAAAATTTGCAAGATATCTATAAAAAGGTATATTTATAGTATATTCGAAGCAGTATTTTACGCAGTTGAAAGTATATAAAATGTACTAACATGCCTTCATGAAATATATAATACTATATACAAACATTAGCAAGTATATCAACTCAACTGAATATAATATATTGTATGCATATATTCTACATGATTTTTACCCATAACCAGTGTACCAAAACCCTGAACCTTTCGAGTAAAAGAAAATACTAGATAGCTTCGAAATACTTTATAATAAGATGGATAATATCTCTAAAAAGTTACAAATATAGTGTAAAATTATTTTTTATATAACATTTTGGTGAGTGTAACATTATTGCAAAGAAAAAAAAATATAAAAGTAAATTTGCTATGACTTACTTCTTGGTCTAATTTTGGTGGCGGTGGAGGTGCAGGCATTGATGGCTTTTTCGTAATTGTAGGAGGTGGTGGAGGAGGATGTTCTGGAGGACGTGGCAGTGTAGGGCTACTACTTGAAGTTGATAATCCTAAAGGTCTCGCTCCACCTAAACCTCCCTTTTCAGGATCAGGCAATTCTCCAGGCGTTTCGGGTTTATCTTCTAGCGAAGTATCAAAAACAAGTTGCAAAGGCGGTCCTAAAAAATACAGTTTTGTACAACAATCCTCTGCCAGACATTATTATAAATGCAACAAAAAACGTCTACCTACCTGATGGCGGACTTTCGGAATTTCTTGTATTGTGTAAGGAAGGAGCTGATCGTTTCAAGAGTCTACCCCAAGTTGCAACGTTAATGTTCATTTGATTAGCTCTTGGGAAGTTCTTCACTTGTTGCTTAAAGATCTTGCGTTGACGTTGCAATTTAGGTTTTCTTGAAATCATAGGATTCAAAAATTTAATTTCAGCAAAAAGAAGACCTTGCGGTTCTAGTTGCAGAGCCATTCCGTGTCTCACATCATCGATAAATTCTTCTAAACGTAAAAATTTTATAGCGCAAAGAGATCTCCAATCTTTCCAATAAATGCCTATTTCAAGTTCTCTCGACTTATCTAGTTCGATGGAAAACCTATTAAAAAAATGTATTTACATATATATTTTCGATTTTTTTATTTACAAAGTATAGCATATTTCCCACAAAAATATATATACAATGAAGACAGTACCTTTGATCCCAAGCCTGCTGGGAACACGGTCGCCAACTAGTTTGTGCTACTGTTTGATTATCCAATTTAATAACTGCCATAATATCATCTGCAATAATTATAAAAAAAAAGTAATGATATCCAGTCTTTTATAAGAATTGACAATAATTTGTAAAACAAACTTACTACTTGTTTCATCCTTAACGCTGTACGATTTACTGGAACTGCGTCCTGTAACACCTTTGACGAAACTGCGTAGATCAGGACTTGCTGGGTGCTCTCTTCTCGTACGACCAGGCACTTCTTCTGCCAAGTCTTGACATCCCATTAACCTTACCTACAATTACAAGTACATATTATTGAAACAAGAAAATTTGTAAGAAGCTGTCACTATCTAAATCTCTTTTACCTCTAATTGTCCAGTAACAGCCGCGCATCTTGAAACTGAAGCAGGCACCGTAGCTTTACCTTCCAGAGGACCACGAAACGGTTGCAACGACGTGTAGGTTACAGGAACCGGGCTAGCAGATTGAATACTAGCTAATTCCCTCTTTAATTGAGCAGCAGTACCACTGTCAGGTGGTAATTCTTGTCTTCTAAGTTCAAGGGATAATCTCAACAGGTCCAATTTTCTACTCGATTCAGCAAGACTTGCTTGAGCCTAAAATTATTCGAAACAAAATGTAAAAGAAAGGAAAATTCTGTCTCGAGCAAAAGTACTCAAAAAGGTAAGAATAAGATGACTTACGCAATAATTACTAATATAATCAACGTTTATTAACAGCATTAACAACATTAAATAATTGTGTGTACCTGTATTAGCTTATATAAATGCAGAATGTTTTAGCAGATCATAAAAATCATAAAAAAAAAAAAAAAAAAAAAAAAAACTGAGTATGGAATACGATATTTTACTCAATAAATATAACTTAAACACACGCGTTATATATTACAAAACAAAACTTTATAATATTTTTAATACAATTTCATCGAAACAGAAAGTATTGATAATTATATGATTTAAAAAATTTTTTAAAACGCACTAACAAAATATCAAGTCTTAAGATTTGTCATGCCTCGGGATCGGACGAAATATCCTCTTTTCATTCCGTAAACGAAATCCCGTTTGACGTTCGAATTCGCTTATAGAACGAGAACGTTCTCGTGAATTAAGTTCCTCAAAATGTCTTCGACAATGCTCGCAGGAACACGAGGGATTCTTAGAAGGTCCTATGTGATGACCAGGCTTTCGAAACGCGTTTACCACCGCGCCGAATATCGAGGCTTTCAAACTATGGTCGGTTCTTTCACCCTGAGGCGTCATAAAGGGAGAAGTAACTCGCGAAGGTACTTTCGATGGAAGAGGGGAAGGACTGTTGGAACCGAACGGACCAATTTGGTCACGAAAACTGTACGGATTGGGAATACTATCGCTACGCGTCGTGGAATCAGAATGATCCTGCTGTAAATTCTTTTGATTCAAAAGCTCTTGTTCCACTATTGGATTTCTATCCGTGCACTCAATGGTAGGTTTACTTGTTCGTCGCACAGTCGGCAGTTTTTTGACCATTCTTTGATTATCCTCACTGGGTACGAAACTCCATCCAACTGTACCGCTTTCGTCAGATTCTTCGCCACTGTCAGCCGACGACCACCCTATCTCGTGTTTTTTTAAATATTCTTTCATCTTTCGATTCTGCAGCAAATATTTGCGTTCGATTTCTGGCGAACGCCATTGTTTTCTTTCACCTTCTGTCTTAGCCCACATTTCCTCCATTCTTCGTATTCTCTCGCGATCGGAACTGCTCGCATACTCGAAACTATCACAAGGGCTCAAGCCCACTTTGTTAATCAGAGACTCCATGTCGGACAGGGTATCTTTAGACGAGGTAGCAATAGTCGAATCGTAATCGAATGGAATGCCCGCGTTAGAAGACGCAGCAGACAAGGGCGCAGAATCGAGGTCTCGAAGAGCACTGTACGAACTGAATTGCGAGGGATAAAGCGAGCTAAGGACGTCGTCGCTGTCATAGCCCTTCGAACTAGCTATGGAGGGCATCCTCATCGGGGCGTGTTTAAAGCTGTCGCATCGTCGTTCCGTAGCACGTTTCAGAAATGCCTTGTCATCTTGAAATCCCCTGGGCAAGATGTTACCCGCTACTTGAGTATGAGTGACTTTTACGTCTGGATTCTCGAATACGGTCATAGGAGTTTCGCATTCATTCTCGGTCGACGTATCGGTGTTTTCGTCATCATCGGAGCCAGTGCAATACACGTCAATATGCACGGTCCGCGATTTGCGTTTTGCGCTGTCATCTTTCGTTGAGGAATCGGATCTTTCCGAATCGACTGAAGGACCGATGCTCGTGGTCTCGGAAATTGTTGGCGATCGACTCTCTTGCTAAAACCAGATACACATAATAGAAATCTAAACACATCTCTGGAGATAAACGGATACAACTCACCTTCTTCTTCTTCTGCTCGTTCAACGAATGGAGACCAGTAGCTACTTTCCTTCTTACTTTGTTATCGCTGACGATTGTTGACGAAGATTCCCGGGATTCTATGTCTGTCGTTTGTGAAGATGCGTCTTTGCTGACGGTGGTCGACTTGGTCGCGACTTTTTCCTGTACACTGCTGCAGAAATGTGTACCATGTGCGCTGGAAGTGCTCCCCTCGAGGCACTCTTCGCAAACTTCCGGTACCGTGCTAAACTGCTGACGCGAAAACACATGTTGATGCGCCGATGGATGCCGCCAAGAACTGTCGTACGAATGTTTAACGATTTCACTGCTCGTTTGTTTGCTGAAACTTTCTTCCTTCGAACCGCCTGCAGTATCCACGGCAGACAACACGATGCTGCATGTGCTTTTGCATCGACGATTGTACTGTTGGGAAAGAGTGTTGGAGGGCCGGCGAGAAGGCAAACTCGAGTACGATTGAGGTGAAAATTGCCCGCTGTTATAGCCCGAGTCCGAGACATTTACATTCCGTCCTCTGGATGACACGGAGTCGTCATTTCCGGACGATCCAGATCTTGGAATGGTGAAGCTTGGCTTTGGAGGTGGCGTTGACGTGAACACTATGTTTCCCCGCTGGAAACCGAACGAGCTGGAGGTAGAAGAGGACGACGCGGTTGGGCCGGAAGTCGTAACGACTGGCATTGTCGATGACGGGCATGGTTGACTGGTATTCCATCGATATATCATGCGAACACCGCTTGAATCTGTGACAGTTGAGGACATGCTTACTGGCACCTGGCTGGATTCCGAGGTGACTGGCGTACCATGGCGAATCGTGACTTCTGCACGCACCAACCACGGTGGTGGTTGCGTGTTATTTGAGTTGCCTTGGCGCCCGTACATGTCGCAGCTTTTTTCTTCAGCCTCCTCCACGCTGTTATACACCGGAGAATATCATCGCCTTGAGCATTTAATCGATTTCGCAGCGAAAACGCATTCGCGCAACCGTTGCTCTCCTCCCTTGCGAAGAGAATCCGACGTTCTTTCGCTAATGTCGTTCCGTTGCACATCGATTCGAACGGTCGATCGTATTCGCGAAAGATGGAAGCACCGCGGCTGCTATGTGTTTCCCCTCCTCGATATCGTTTATTTTCCGCTGAATTTCAGCAGGCTCGATCGCTTAACGATCTGCCTCGTTACGTAATTTCTTGTAAAAATTGATTGAACACCTTCGAAACGTATTTTCAGAATACGTTTCACAAATCTGTGCATATATTATGTATATAGTTCTTCGTGGAAAGACGGCAGTTGTGCGATGCTACGTCTCCGTGGTCTATTTTCAGAAACAGTGTTACTGTATTCAAGCGATTTCGGAATCTTCATTCTTGTATCGCTTCAATATTACGTATCGAAATTGTAAAATAAATCTCTTGTTCGAAGTAAGCTCTGTAGCAATATATCATCTTCGTGAAATCGAAGCGTTTCTTTTCTCATCAGTGTTAAAAAATATTATTTTACATGTTTTACTTGAATTTTACTTGAAGTTTCCTGCAGTTTACACCACGATCTTTAAATATTGAGCTTAGTTACATTCATCCTCTCGTTTCTCGCAAAGTGACAAACCATACGTTACAGCAGTAACAGCTAGGTATAATTAGCACAATATAAATTTGGAGCAACGTACAGTCGAACCAAATATACCTGGAACCAGATGATACTTTTAATACCGTAATACGTGATTATAATCGTTTCTAGTGACAAATAAATCACGTATATCGAATGTCAGTTCCCTCCGAATAGAAAAAAAAGAAAAAAAAAGAATTGCTAATACTACCCAGATAGCCAGTCTGAATAAATGCACGTTTTCCTTTGTCTTAATTTTGACGATGATTTTTTTTTTCACGAAATCGTTTTCATTCGTCTTCGATCCAGAAGTATTCCAGGTCGTGCGTTCTCGCCTCCGCATCCAACATACAATTATTCAACGTGCAACCATCCTCTATTTCTGTCAGTCTGCTTCTGTCTTGGAATTCACGGAAAAAACTTGGCGTTCTAAAAAACCAGCAAAAGAGAACTATCGCATCGAACGACTAGGAACTCGGTTTTTTTTTTTGAGCTTTTTTCAAAATTTTGGTCGCCTCTTGCGTTTCTAGTAGGTGCATTTCTAGACAACTCTCTCTCTCTCTCTATCGCGACGATATCTCGCGAGATAGACACGTCAGTCTTCTTGGAGTGTAGTAAATTGGGCGCAGAAGAGTGCGACGTCCAACGGGAGTACGATTCTGGGCGGAATCGAGTCAGTCTTGAAATTCAGGTCATAGTTCGGCGCAATGGCAGAGATTACCCACGAGTACCAATATCTCCAGGAATGTCCAAGCAAAGGATACAGACATTTGTTGAGCAGATACGCGGTTGATTGGCGCACATGTCGTTAGTTTATCGCGTTGCTTACGACTGGGTTGTGCCAGCTCCCCTCGAGAGGTGGTAACTAAGCGCGACCCGAAAAGGCGTCATAGAAGACGACGGGGTAGCGGGGATTAGGCAGTGCTATTTCGAGACTGGTGCGTATACGCCACTGCTGTTCGAATTCGACGTAGTCGTCTACGTTGAACGCGCGTTCGCGCGACTTGGATACACGGAAAATCGTTAATCTACTCGACGAATACGGTTGTCGAGTCTTCCGTTTCGATTTACGTTTAGCATGCGATACGATAATGCGTCTACGTCAAAACGACGTGGATGTAATTTTCCAGAACAGACTTCTCGCAACTTTTCAAGTATCGCCTATATATGGATTTCGACTGTGAACGAGATTTTATAGATAGAAAAAGCAATAGTAATGAATATTCATCGCGTAAAAGACGCGTATGAAAGCTGTACAATGATATGACGGCTTTCAAAGGACATCACGTCTATTAAGTAGAATAAGGCATCAATAGCTTCCTTTCGACAGTGTATCTCCGTTCAGTCACAAAAGCTTTTCATTATCGAACGTCAGTCCTTACTTCTTAGTGGCATGTCGTATCATCGCATATATTGAACAGGAAATGATACATACCTCCGTTAAGGCCTTCTTATCGGCGACTTTGGCACTTTGTAAAAGACGTATCACGTTCTTAGCTCCTTCCACGACCGCGGCTTCAATCCGTAAACGATGTCGTAGCTCTTCTACCCTTTCCTCCAGCGCGAGCTCCAAACTAGGCTCGTACCTATCTGTAATTAGAATGTTCGACATTATCGATCATGTATATATATATATATATATATATATATATATATATATATATATATATATATATTTCATCGAACGGGTATCTGATCGAACGATAACAATTTAAATTCTTACACGACTCGAATGGCGTTTCGTGCTCGTTCGAACATGTTTCCCTGACAGAGGAGAATAGATATTGAAAGCACATGGAAGTTACGAAGTGAGTTACGAATCGCGAACAGACGACTTATTGAAACGCGACTGTGATGGCTCGATATCTACACGAAAAGCAAGATTGCTTTTACGTCACGCGAGACTGCCAGTGTCCTCTCCGAATATGACATCGATATAAACCATTCTTTCGACTGCTGTACGAGTCAAACGAGAAAAAAGATAACAATAGATTTTTCACATCAAAGGGATAAATGTTACATAACCGCATGTATATACATATATATAACATATGTATAACATGTATATACATATTGTAACTCCAATACACACGTGTACATATTTAGAATTTCAGTACAATCGTAAGTTTTTTTTTACACCGTTCATTATCAACGTGTTGGTAACCTAAAACAGGAAAAATTAAATGAAAAATTATTGACACGCGTAGAATTACAAGATTCACGTTTCACGAGCTTAATAAACGAAAAATTTTTTTTTTTTTTTCGCTGAGCGAGAGAGCTATCATTTTCACGAACATCCGTCATTATTTCCACTAAATTACTGTCGTATCTCATGGGTGGTCTTTGGCCTATATTTCAGCAGTTACCATGATCGAGCCACATAATACCGCGCAACTGTAGTTCGGCATGAGTCACGGCAGCTATATCGAATAACTATATACGATATAACGAACGTTAATTGCTAATAATTATGTCCTTGAGGTGACTAATTTCTTATATGCTCTGATTAAGATCCTTGTGGCTGTCGCGAACGCATGATGCAGGCGACACTACGCTCGATTTAGTACCTTTATTGCTAGTTGCCTCGCCGTTTGGCGGTGGTGCATCGCCGCGTGCATGTTGTTGCTGACGAGCTTGCCGCACCTTCATTATTCGCATGCGTAGGAACTCGATTTTGGCGCGAGAATCGTCGAGCATTTGTTGAGCCTCCTGCAGTAACTTTTTGTCTCTACCGCTTGTCAAACTCTGAATCATGTTTTCTGCTCCTTGCTTCACCTGCAACGTCAACAGAGGAAATGAATCACTATGTGAAGCGTTGGGAAAAAATATTTAATTCCTTGATATATAAGTAGTCACTCGAAACATAACTTGCTCTGATAACGCGAAATCTATAAAACTGTGATTCACCTTTTTAAAGAGAAAATTCGGCATTTTTGCTACTCTCTTGACGAGATCTGATAAGCGACTACGCGTTCCCTAAACATTGTAAGTATTCACCAGCTCGGCAGTTAAACCTATTATACTTTGGAACGGATCGCGTAATATGAGGTAGGGATACGATTTCGTTTTTACATATATCGCCGTCGACATTGAAAATTCGTTGACATTCCTAGGCTGGCGAAAGTCCAGAATCGGTGACGTACATTTTTCAGTTTCTCCAAGAGATTATCTAACACGTTCTCATCCTTTCTTGCAATTATTAACTTTTTCGCAATTCAAAAAATAGGAAATCGAAACAACATGGTTATAACGATTATCTACTTAAGAAGCGATAACTCTTGCTCTTGTTGGAATTCATTTGATCAGATTGTGTGTTACGGGTACAAATAAAATTACAACGAGAGTCCAAAACTTGCTTCTTTGATTAGTGAAAACTACTCGTATCGCGAAATAAAGAGCTATCTTTAGTGGAGAAAAAAATGCCGAGGATTCTCTGCTGACTCACAGAACGAGAACGAGCTAGAAATGTTACTTGTCTCGCCTGTAATCACTCATAGACTGATTACAATAGGAACAGTGTGAACATCATTAAGATATACTCACGCGAATATCAGTCAGTGATAAACAGCAATTGCATAAACAATTACGTAGTTATGATATTGCAATAATAATTTTACATATCTGTTCTTTTAAATTTGACACCTACAATTTTATTACAAAAGATATTTGAAACTTGATGTACAAATTTAAACTCGTGTCTAACTTTAACCATGAAATTTAATGTTCATCTAATCCATCGAGTTACAATCTCGATCAATCTCTTTTATAATCCATAGTGGAGTTTTCTTTATTTTTGTTTTTCTCTCTCTCTCTCCTCTTTTTTTTTTTTTTAACGTATGTCTACCTTGAGTTCGATATTGAGCTGCTTCTCCAAGGACAAAAGACGAAGATCCGTGAATAGACCCTCCTGACTCGGCGACGACGGTCCCATTGGTGACAGAGGCGTGTCTGAAACGAAAATAGGTAGTGAAAATAAAAAGCTACTTCTTGATCCACTCTAGGAAAAATTAAACTACAATTGATTCTCGTTAAAAAAAAAAAAAAAATAAAAAAAAAAAAACACTAATACCCTCCGTCATTTACAATAACGATATCGGTGCAATCAAGACATTAAACGTCTTCGAACAAAGATTCTCGAAAGTTCGTTCAAGATATTCGAGATTGATTAAAAATATAACAAATCTGTGAGAACGGCATTCTATTAAAACACGATTTAGCGTGGGCGTCAGCAGCTCGCACTAGTACATCTTGTTACATCTCGGCAAACGCCTCGAGTGTCCAATAGTGAAATCGCAAGGTACTCGAATCCTACTTCCTGTAACCCACTAGAGATATCTCCGAGGCTGGCTTAGAACTCCCACGTATTTAATGCAGTGCCGCCAGGCACAATGCGAACGCAGAAAAAGTGCTACTCTTCTTTGTTTCGCGCGTGTAGACGAGCGCGCGCACGCCGTTGTTCGTCAATTTTTCCCATCGCCAGTTTTCACTGGCACTGAAATCTCGCGTCGCCAGCCGACGCTATAAATGCTCCATCGTCGACCATAAAATGAAAACCTTTACGGCATAGTAAATCGCGAAATTAATAGTTGCCGACGATCGAACGTCTTACTGTCGCTCCAAGCAAAACGAAACACACAGATGTAAAAAAAGAAAAAAAAAAAACACGTAATTGACGTATGATTTACGTAAATGGTTAGCGTGTGTAGCAAAAATCTGCATGAAAATTTGCGCGAACTTTATACACAAACATGATTGCTGAAGGTCAAAACCCTGACGTCTCTATTACCAAGATTTAACGTTTATCTTTTATGGCGCGATTCAACGAATGTAAATCAAGGTTACGCGCTATGAAATCACAGACCGTTCGATTTGTGTAAAAAGTAATTGGCGTTGCCATTAAAATATACGAGCAAACAAATTTGTCGTTCATGTCGCCGTCATGAATTTTCATCGATTTTTACTTTTAATCGCGCTAAAATAAATCTAAATAAACTTCCACGAGTACTCGTTGCACAAGTCGCAATGGTAAAAGTAGATTACGGTAAGGTGAGGGCGGAAACAGTCTGAAAAACGAGTGTCAGAATTATAAGCGGGGTTTCCGGGCGAACCGGAACTTCGAACAATTACGGCAATCAATTCCATTTACGTAATTATATCGCCGGTTTGCGAAACGTAGGCAACTCTCGTTTTAATATAGATATCGGACACACCCCAATACTCATTTCTCTCTCTCTCTCTCTTTTTTTGCAGTTTCTATATTCCGATCGCAGCAAGACAAAGGATATACACAGTAATGTTTCTGCGACGTACATGCAGTTTCCCGTGTTTCGAAATATTGGAGAACGAAACGTCGATATTTCATTTGCACGAAACTCGTTCGCCGAATTCGTGGCCCCGAATACCAGCGTGTGTGGGTGCATGGTATTCGAAGAATCATCGCGAACGAATTTGCGCGACTTTCCTTCTCGTTCTTTCGAATTCTTTTTTCTTTCAAATTCGCCAGACCGAATCGTGAAGCTCCCACGGGAGAGGATTAACCATCGATATTAAGCGGAGATTTAACCAACGGCACGAGAAACAACGGTAATGACGTCGTACCGAGTACAGAAACGTGCTCACCGCCGACAAAGACGCGTAAATGCACACACGACGCCTATGCACGGGGACAAGCCGCACTTGCACTCGTCGGTGCACGCGCTTGGCTTGACATGTCCGAATAAGGCAAGCGCCAAGAGGCGAGACAGAGAGGAAGAGAGGAAAATAAGGAGGATATCGGCCATGGGAATGCATACGGGAGCAAGCGTTGCTGAGAATCGGCTCGATTCGATCGATTCCATCCAGTGCGACCAGTTCTCCGGGAAACGAAGAAAACTGAAAAGAAGGTCGCAGAAAGAAAATTTACGTTTCAAGTGTACGATGAATATTCAATATTGCAAGTATCGTTAGAATGAAACACGGAAAACGAAGCAAGGTTTAACACTAGAACTACCGTAATGGTCAAAATAACTAATTCATCAATTTTGTTAGATCTAGGACATTTTTAGTAGATGTAGAACAATATATTTTTGGAGATTTAAGTGATTTTTTTATAAAATATATATATACATGAATGAAAGCTTGTGTATTTTATTGTTTTTTATAGTTTTTATATTTTTTTCTATAGTTTTTCTAGTCCTTGATAATTTTAGTGTTAAAAAGGAATGAGGAAGAATAACGTAGAGTGTAGAGCAAAAAGTGACACAGAGGAGTGTGTTGGAAATGAGGATGAACAAAAAAAAAAAAAAAGGGAAATTCGTAATAGAAGATGGAAGGCGAAACAGTGGAAGACAGGTCTTAGGACAATGCCGCATCGAAGAGCACCATGAGCATAACCATGTCATTAGCACAGTACCAGAACACGTGCCCCATTATTCTCCATTTTTGCAAGCAAGGGTCGACGACAAAGGCTCTCCTTGTTTCCAGGCTGCAGAACTTCGTACGGTTTGCGCTCTTCCATCCTTTTCGATCTGCTCGTTCGAAACAATGAATGGAATTATTGACGCTCTCGTAATTTTTACCACGCGTAATTTTTAAAAACGAGAGACACCCGAGATGAGCTGTGTGTATTTTTTTTTTTTTCCTTTCTTTTTCACTTCATCCGATCGGTGAGTCGCCGATCTTCTTCACCGGTTTGACGAGCTAGGGTGCAACGCACGCAACCCTTCGGAACGATAGAAGAAAGACACCGGTGTATTACCGCGTCTCCTCGTGTGTGCATAATTTGCTTGCATGCATCATCTCGTCAGGGACAAAAGCATCGCGTGAAACTTGCTAACTCAACGCCGAGCCGCCTCACCGGGGAATTATATTTTCCTTTCCCGTCCCCGAGTCCGCACAATCTTCTCTCCCAAGTTATCGTAACTACGAACGTTCGTGCAACGCGTGGAACGCGTTGCTATTGCGCAAGACGCCGTTGCCTGCCCATAGGAAGGAATCGTATAAAGGTACATTATAAGTAACGAGCAAAGATACGTGGTAATTAGAGAGAAATCATATACGGAGTATCGTGAAAAAAAGAAACGCGCGCGTTCGAAGCGAAATTAAAAATTGTAATCGCCGCTCGCAACGACAGGCTGCAACGCGATTTCCTCTCTGCACTCGACTCGCGGCACTCCGGAGTGACTACTCTCTCCGCGCGTCGCCCATTCATGATTTCGCCTGCAACGTGCGTACCGGCGCTGCTGTATTTCCACGTATCCGTGCGATTCACACAGACGCGCGTTCATAAACCGTAACCTGGGGGCCAGACACTTCCTACGGCATACATTAATATGTACGTAAGGAGTAATTGTGTTCCGCTGCAAAAGGGGATGGAGTGTGGCCTGCAACATCCTTATTACGGGACTGATTAAAATAATTAGCGTGACTAGAAGTTAAGCGTGAACCTGCCGGCCGGTAGGTACAGAACGTACAGGAGGATCAACAGCGATGCTGGTATCCTGTCGCGTAACAGTCACTTGCATCAAGTGTCTTGCGGTAGAACGTGTTATTAATTGGCCTAAACCATTGCTCAATCATTGTGCGCTGGCACAAGTCGATGGAAAGAAATTCTCGAGGTCTGAGAACGGACGGGTGGTCTAAACATGGCAAGCGATAAATTTTCGTGTCCTCCGAAGATGAATAATCAAAAGAACGAATTTGTCACGAGACTACGTGCCAGAACGAGAAAACAGCATTTCGAGGTAAAGACAAGATCTCTCTGAAGGCGACTCTACCCAGGATAACCGCCAACGTTTAACCATAGCGATTTAAGTTATTAGCATAGGAGCTACCGTTTGCGTCGAAACGAGAAAATTACGCGCGACCGGTTTCCATTTGAAAAATATTCCGGTTTAAAAACCTTCCCCGTGACCACGATTGCGAGCCTACTAAAATCCTATACAAGCCGTCAATTAGCTGATATAAATCGCAATCGCTTATTTGCGGCCGCGAATGATCGACGAGTTTACGAACGCAAGAAAGCGGTAGGTTCTGAACCGTTCGCCTCGATCTTGTAAATTATTGCACGGACAGCGTTCCGGAGAACCGTGGAAAGCATCGTAAAACAATTTCAACGAAGGCCTTTTTGATAAGCTTGATGGAATAACTGGCCATATCAGTCAAATCTACGGCCAGTTTTCTCTCATTCACCATCCGTAGGCGTCCATACGTAGACTAACGTAATCGCACAGAAGCAATTCGTTCGCATGCGTACACCGTGTGTCAGTTAACATACGCCAGCACACGAGACTTTTGCAATTCGTGACTCATAAAGCCTTATCGATGATTGATTTTTATTTTTATCAGGTTTACGACGATACCGATATGCCGAGAACGTTTGAACATTCAAATCATAGGTATCGCAAGAAAACGGAATGCCAGGAAAAGAAGGCGAGTACGTTAAACGAACTTTTCATTCGATTACACATTGTACGTACATTTCGCGCGTTTAACGAATTTTAACAGGAGCATTACGCGATCTCTTTATTTTGGAAAAATTACGCAACTTCCTGCACTCGAACGGTGATGAGACGCGAAGCAAAAATAGGACGACGCGTTATGCCGACAAATGCAAACGTCGAGGCTCAAAACGCGCATAAAACCAACTCCGCGTGCAATAAAGTTCGCGCTGGTCTGAGTTTAGTGGCCACCCGGTGAAAGGATAACAGAGCGTGGCTCTACGGCTACGAATTTTTCGCAAGCACGCTACAAAATACCCGCGAGAGAGAAAAACTTTCTGACCGAATCCGATGAATCGCGAACGAACGGACGAACGAAGGAACGCGTCATCGAGATCATCCGGAATCCGGACTCGGCCGCCCCGTGTATACGGGGCATATAACGTGATTTGCGTTACGGAACGCGGGAATTATGTAACGCGTTCCGTTTATTTAGAAGCGGATACGCGCAAATGTCGCGCGAGAAACGATAACAGCCAAGAAAGAGGCGTTACGGTTACAACGACAACCTTTTACACGCCATTATTATTACTTCACGTACCGATGCCGATGCCGATGTATCTCCAGCTACGATCGGAAACAATGATTCGAGGAGTGAAATTTACAAACTTGACACGAGGATCGTGCACCAATTATTTCTCACGGTACAAATTGCGCGCTTGTGTATGTTTATACCACGTAAAACAGACCTTGATCTGCCATTTCGGTCCGTGCCAGAGAGCATTCGTTGAAATGATCGATCGAAAAGTTATGTTTCTTCTCGAGTAGGTACGAGGCAGTGCGTGATGCGGCGCGGTCAGGAAGAAAGGAAACTGCTGAATTGACCGTCATTTTGATAAATATACGCTGAACAACGAAATTATCGTAATTTTCGAGGAGAAGGAGGAGAAGGAAGAGGAGGAGGAGAAGATGGTGGAAAAAGATCGACGTGGCCGAGTATTCATTCAATTCATGCGTGTTGCGATACCTCTATCGTCCATTACATTGTCGGTTATTTCTAAAAAAGTTTCTAAAGATATTCGACGACCGAAGTGTCGCGTAATTTTGCGTCGACGGCCGAGAGAGTCTCGGGAGGAAGCAGGTAGTGGTACCTAAAAGGGGATAAGGGAGCAGAGAGAGGGCCCGAGGGCCTTCTTGATATACGACAGCGTGGAATGCGAAAGCGTGGGTTCGCCTCGGTTCGGCTGAAACGCGATCTCGATCCACATCGAAGCGGGCAAGGGCCGCGGGCTAAATACGCGCGCGAGCGCGCAACGGTACTCCGCGCGAGCGATCACTCGACCGATCGCTTCTCGTAATATGTTGTTCAATGCATCACGCACGTGAACGTACGTATAGATGTATACGTGTATATCGTATATAAAAGCGTTTTCACTGTCTCCCGCGAGGAGAACGCGTGTTACATGCACGTAGCCAGAACTCGAAGAACTGGAAAGTGAACGAGAGAGCCTTGGTGCTCGTTACGTTGCTTCCCTCACGGCGTCCAATCGCCGGAGGAAAGGAGGGAATATGTACTTTCTCCTGAATCGGTGGCACCGTCTCATCCGCGATATCGTATTCTAAGTTCGTATGCTTTCCTTGTTGCTCGAGACAATAGTGGCAACGGCGTGGAAGAAAAAGGACGAGGAGGGAATAGTATCTTTAAGAGATACGAGGTTGAAATATTTCGAGAAATATTGTTACGGGGTGTATTGATGAATCAATGGTTGTTAATGCAGAATGGCGATGATTCTATCATATTTCAAACTATTTTATAACATAGCCTGGAGAATAGATCTACATAATGAACATGAAGATGATTTTTACGAGGTGCTTGTTGCACGAAGTTGTCTCAACTTTTTTGTCTGTCGTAATATTAACGCCACTCTGAGACGTCGGAAGTGTAAAACGTATAATGCAACGAAGTTAGTCGTATGATTAATAGAACGATAAGGAGCCGTTTTAAGGGATCGAAACCAGTTATTTCTCTGGACAACGACACAGGGAGCCTAGCTAGAGGTTGTAGTTGCATTGTCAGGATTGTTCTGAATGGTATAAACCCGTCGCAGAAACTGAATGAAATGGCCCGAAGGCAAGTTGCTAGTCCCGGAATATATGATGACTGACTTAACTGGAGTGGATAGAGCGTCTGGGTCCACGGTATAAATAGATGCTACCACTTACCGTCAATTCAAAGAGAACACAAGACTCGAGTTGCTCGCTAGTCGCGAGCAAGTACGAAGCCCCGGGCACGTCACGAAGCGGCACCGATAGCTAAGTGCCACCCAGTGGCGTAACTAGCCTTTCAAGGTCGACCGATCGAGAAAAGTATCTTGATTTCGAGAACACGATACCAGCACCGTCCCGTGCTGTTCATGTTAACCTCTGACAGGTTAAAAAGCACATTATGTAAGGAGTTTTCGAGATTTCGAACTTGTTCTCGATCGAGAATCAAAACATATACGGATTTGATATTTGAAATATAATTGAATAAAGAAACGTTCTTCCCTTATTAAGAAGATAAAATGCTTCAGTGAAACAACAAAAAAAAAAAACGCTCTAACTCACGTTACTGCGTACACGTGGTTATGTAATGATAGGATTCCTAAGAAATAAATCGATCGTGATAATAGATAGAGCGTTACGCTACACTATATATTGAAATTCGACGTTACGCCCGTGACTATTCAGAGTACCATGACCCCTGATTACGAGGATCGGAGTTAATCGTTCCTAATTTATGTCCAACGACTGTACAGCTAGTATGCCGGAGTATTCTAAGCGAGGGAAATGACCAGCCGCACTGGCTGGAAATGCCAGGAGAGTACCGTTTCCGGAATAACGTATCGTTGCGACTGTAAACGTGTACGCGTGTCCTGTGGGCAGCGATCGAGCCGTTAAGAGTAATCTCTCAAAAAGTCGCAGACGGTAATCCAAACGGTTCCAAAGTCCAAAGTGCATGACTCATAGCGTAAACAAGCAAATCACGCGTGAAGCGGGCAAATTGGATTTTATTCGCAACCAAGATATACATACTTCTCACAATTGAAAGCCAAATTCGCCTGTTTGAGAGCTTGTTAAAAACGATTAAAAAAAGGCACTGGGAAACGCGGAAAGTATAGACTGGATTTTTTAACGAGAGTCTTTATCGATGTCTCGATCGCTTAGCAAAACGTTTATGGCTCCACAGAGTTGGACATGGTCGATTTGCCAGTTCCGATGCTGTAATAAAACAGCAACTCACATGCACGGTTGAGCTTTATAAACCGAAGACGTCTCGATGGTTCGTTAGCGGGTAGAGTTATTAAATGGTTGCTCGTTAACGATACAGAGATAAAGAGAGAAAAAGAGAGAGAGAGAGCAGCGGTAGCGTAACAGGAGGCAACATGCCGAAACACATCATTAAATAAGCGAAAGCAAATCGTTAACGTTCTTTAACTCGTCTGCTTTAGAGAATAATTGCGCAATTATAATGGGATCGCTTATCGAGACTGTTCCTTTTTTTTTTTTTTTACAATACGCCATACGACGATATGGCGCCACGCTGGATCCCGATTTCACACGGTCACTCCGAAAAATCCTTGAACTCGTTTGTAGTATCGATGGGTTGAACATATTCGCGCGCACGAACCGCCAGGCCGAAGCAGTAATTGATCGGCACGAAGTCTAACACGCGGCATTACATAAAACCCGTTTAGGCGCGCATGAGTCTGCCTTATCCTCTCGGTCAATGCCATGCAGCGTTAAGGTGACTACAAAGATGGTATCTGTCGGTTAGCCGTGCGAGTTCTCTTTGCCTTACCTTGACCGTTCGAATGATTTTGCTGGGGCGACTGTGGTTGGCCCTGCGTCAATATAATTTGACTTTCCAGTTGTTGAAGCTCGGCCTGCAATTCGTTCAGCTTACTATTCGACTTTTTCACGATCGTCGCCACGTCGGAGAGCGCTTTACGATCGGTCGCCACTTCCCTCAGCTTCTCGGCGCCAGCCTTTATCTTCAACTCCTGCAACCAAACCAGCGAACGTACACGTTCCTCGTCGTTTTATGGCGAGTCTTTTGTGTTACACAGCCACATTCGGAATAAACATACCCGCCATACACATTGTTCGATGGTGCCCGAACCACAAAGGAGACGGAATTTCGCTCGACGAGATTCACTCGAGCACGATATTATCGATCTATCGATCGTCCGAGTGTGTCCACTCGTGTGACCACTCCTCTCACCAGGCAAATGAGACGTAAAATTATACCCGATCTCGCGCTACGGAGCTATCCTTTCATTCTATTAACTCCTATTATGTTCGCTGTACAACTTTTCCCCCGGTGAGCACACAAGACCTGACAAGACCTATATCTCCTAATCACGACTGACCCGTGAACAATATTTGTGAGCGGCATTTAATAAAACGATTACCTGCTCCAGGAGGAAAGTAAAATTGTTTCGTGAAATGTTTCACTTCACCTCAGGGAGCAAGCGTGATTTATGGCTGCTTGTGTACGCTTTAAATGCATGTCCTTTACCTCCGCGAGAAAGACTTACGATTGCATTTCGGTATCAACGTGTAACTATATATATATTTTTTTTAAATATAGCGAGATTTTCAACATTATGTATGAATGCACTGTATTCAACATATAGCTATCTATACCTCCATTCCTTTTCTTCAATTTCTATCTGTACTGTACTGCAAATAAGTAAATTTCCTACCAACGTTCAATTTGCAAATACATCCTGCTCCAAACAAATCGTGTAATAAGCCTAGCAAACAACTCGGCAACATTTGTAGTCGTGGCAAACTATCGAAACGACTTATTATCGATTTATCATCGACCGGATCGGAAATGTGGCGGCGTTTTAACGCTCGCGATGTCGTAATTTCTTATCTCATTTTTGACCAGCGAAAGAGAGGAAGAAAGTTCTTCGTTCTCCTCTTTTCCTCTTCACCCCTCCTGCAAATAACCATAAATTCTGGCCCGGATCCATTAGTCACGTGGATCGTGCCGGTTTTCAACGGGCGTGCCACGGATCGACGGTGGCCTGACACATATCGGATTTCTCTGTTCTTCCCCTGGGAAGAAACGAAAAAGGAGAGATGCAACGATGCAGAGAGGATGCCACGTTATAGAGCGAAGAGAGGAAGAGCGAAGGAAAGGATACTCCTCTGCCGTGCAAGAGATCGGTGCTCGTGCGAGCCGCGCTACCGCGTACATTGCGGTCTACAGCGAAAAAGAGAGCTTCGGGGAAGAGACGTAGCGCCGAGAAGGATAAACGAAACTCGACATACCTTGCGTATTTCTCGGCGTATGTGCTCCCGGAGCTCATCGAGACGAGCCGGCAAGGGCACCTGGTCACTACTAGCCACTCCATACTTGCTCGACAGTTCGTACACCGGGTGCCTGATGTAATCGCCCTGCAACAGATTCCAAATTCGATTATTCGAATCGGCGTGCTGTTTCTTTCTCTATCTTTTTCACGACATTATTGTGATCGTTAAATATAAGTACGCGTATTTAAAAAAAAAAAAAAAGAAAAAAGAACAGAAAGAAATGATAAATTATTAAGATTAACCGTCGCCCAAAAATATTTATCGATATATAGCACGCGAAGGTATATCGTGTTAATCGCGTAGGTGCGTAATATTTAAAAATGGAACGTTTAATGCCGCTACTTTTTATACGGTACAATAAAGCACGAATTATCGTATAATTTCACGAGGATAAATTTTCCTATCTGGTTAATAACGCAAGCTGTTAGCAAGATGCTTGTTTAAGTTCAACATCGTCCTACGTTCGCGTCTATTTTCGCGTCGCTTAATCCTGCCGGTGACATTTGCATTTTTCCGTGAACATCGAAAAAGAAGGACTGGGCTTGTGAATTTGCGAAGAAAAACAGCGTGGAATATAATATACCTTTACCGCGGCCGGAAATTGTCTGGCGCGTTGCGGCGGATGTGCACACCGGTGTCTACTCCGCGTTCGACCACGGTTATAAACTCGTACTGAGCCGCGGAAAATATTGATCTTGAAATAAGTATCGGTTCCCGGCAGTATCGGTATCCTATACGCCTGTTAGCGAGCAACTAATTAATGACCGATTGTATATTTAAATTATTCGGCTCGTGATTATGACGCTCGACCAATTTAGTGACGCCATCGTGTTATCGCAATTCTATGCGTCTATACCTATATCAGTCAATAAATAAATACAGTTATTGGAAAATTGAGCAGCAATACGTATCGTAGCTTTTCTTATTAACGTTATTTAAACACGATACACGAATAAAATTTATTTTAAACAAATATTGATATTGCATCGTGTCCGATTCGCATAAAATAAAATCGGCTGATTTGTCAGTGGCACGTGTTTGACACTTGACCTGCGTGAGTGCATGGTATGAAAAATGTTAAAGATATTGAATGATATTACCGTGCATGGTGCAATACAGCTCCAACGTTGCTTGGATTTGCTCGACTTTCTTACTGACGTACTCGCCGTCTTTTTCTCATCATGCAGAGAAATGAACGACATTGTTCAATTTTCCTATCCAATCTTATAAATAACGCTATTTAATGATTTTTCCTTGGCTGTTTTTATCAGAAGATATAAATGTATCAGTTTACTGAAGACTGTATCTAATTTTAATTAACATTGCACTCACGTTCACAGAGATCAGGCACTATTAACTTTCCCTTATTCGTCAAAGGATTCAATGTTTCGTACGAGTAAAACGAAATAAATAAATGCGCGTTAACTATGCAATCAATCATTAACGCGTAACAGTGAATGCGTTCAGTTAGGATCTAGATTGCACACTTCAACCACCTGTTGCGACTAACCACTATTCTACGAACGTTATCTATACGACCAACTTCGCAGACGAAACTTTATGAATTTATGAAGTTTATCTTTCCATCAGAATATCGCTGTTTATTGAATTCCAATGGATCTACAATTGTCAATGCGTACGATTAACTACAGAACAATATTTCTACGTGACTGATTTGAGGATTTCTATATACTGACTAAAGACTTTACCAATGCTTTATCTCTTATCGTTACGATAACAGCGATTCTCAACAGCAAATGTATTGCGATTTCGTCAAGTGTATGTACTTAACGTAACTCAATAGGAATCTAGTTACACATCTAATAATTATGTATACATTAGACTTCAAGTTGTGTTTGTCGTGTGATAGTTTGGTACAATCATAATTATAAAATCAGAGCGACACTCTTGTACCCTTTGCTGCAAACAATATGACTCAGGCGTATATCCTATTCTTGTAATCGTTCGTTCGCGCGAGGCTGACACACCTATAGGTTACTTATAAGTTCGGAACTTTGACGACAGCGGATTCCAGAAAAGTGTGTGTTTATGTATTCCATTTGCAAACCGTGTACGATTGCTAATAAAGATAAGTTTAATCACGGCTTGATTCCTACTATTGTCGCTATTAGGCCGTTGCGGATATCGTTTTAAATTTCCCGCCATTTGGTGCATTTCAAATATGTTATTTATCTATGCTATTCTGAAATCCCCGCCACCCAATGCAGTTACTATTTTCTTTGGCAGTGCCAAACAGAGGATGGAGTAAACAATTTTGAACAAAGCCAAATTCGCGAGAGATTATGTTTCAAAGTTTTTCCATCGTATGGGAAGAGGAGGGGGGATTTCTTAATACGACAATTAGATACGATTTTCATGATGGACAATAAAATTCTGACGATAGGTGAAACGATTTGAAGAAGCAACGAACCCTTTAGCAAACGTGTATCTCAGCTGTATGTGAGTTTGACACACTGACGCATGAGCTATTTTCATGCATTCCGTAATATGTATGCCATGCATAATAATCCCAAGAGGTCAATAGTCGTCGCAAACATTAGTATATATTACAGGTACATAAAAATTATCCCAAAATTCGCTGATATTTAAAGCTTTATCAATTTTAAGTTAATATACATAGAGTGGAGCTAAACGTTGAAATTCAGAAAATAAAAGATATGAAGTGGTTTGTTTTGTGACATTTGCATTTAGCTTTACAGTTGGAGAGTAAAAAAGTTTTTTACTATGTGTATTGTAGCAAACAATGTCAATGGAATGGAAAAGTTCCGCTCTTCAAAAATTCTAATCATAGCTATCTATGTCATTATGATTAATCGTTACAAGAAAATAGAGCTCGAGATGAGTGTAGCGGTGAGCGGTGGCTAACCAACGTATACTATTTTATTTTTGGGTTACGCACAGCGCAAAGCATCTGTTAGATTAGCAAATTGCGAAAGCGTCGTATATATGGCGAAAATGAATCAATCGTAGAATTAATACTTTCTGAATTAAATCGAATGAAATGAACTTTCCATATTTCGTTATCACGCGATGATAAACATGTCAAAATTCAAAAAAGAAAATAGTAATAAAACAGCTTCTTAAATATTTGCCGAGCAACACGACTCTTCTATTGGAGAAGTTTAAATTCAATACAAAAATGGTAAAATTAAACCAATAACCATAGGTGCAAGGATTTGATCGTGACGTTCGTGATGTATTAAGCCAACGCTGTTTCCGCTATAATGGAGTTGTTGCCGTACGCTCCTGTCAGAATGATTCTTATCCGTTATACAACTATGCTTTGACAAACGTGTCTTGAACCGCACACCTATGCCCATAATGTCAGGAAATACCACTTGCCAAGAGAAACAGGTGCTACCAGGAACTGTATGGAGAGTTCTTGGAATAACCTAAATAAATTAAACTGATATCAGGTGTGTAGAGGCTGTTATGCCTCGTTTAACGTAAACGGGGCTGAAGGCCTTTACAGTCGTGATTCACGAAGAAATTAGTGATCATCATTGTCTTCGAAAACATTCCTCGAACTTAAAGGCAAGTGCGCGTTGTCGGCATAAGAATGTAAGAGGAAGAAAGAAGTAAATACAAAGTGAGTGAATTACGCCCAAAGCGATCTTTTATTATGGCGGCTGGAATCATTGGTCGGGTGGCGACCAACGCGCACCAGTTCGTAAAGAGAGCGTGGATGGACCTGCGACTCACCTGATAATAGCTTGATTCCGCCATCTTGGACACTATACTCCACTCACTCACTCACTGCTTTCTATCCGTCCTTTGTGCATGGAACGACGAAGTCCATTGTGTTTACGCGAGTAATGTACGCTGCACTACCGAGATGGTTGGAAATGTCTGCATTTCATATATTACCACACACGCTCGATTTTCCTCACGAGATGTTTTCAACGTAAATCTTTGAATAGGAACAGACAAGAAGTTACTAACACAAGGAAATATGAATGAAAGACGCGCCGCTCGCGAACAAAATGCAGACACGAGTGCATTCCACCGCACCAGACTAAAGACTGACGGAAAGTGCCGGGCCAATCGTGGTCCAAAGGCGCGCGCACTGTATTGCCACAGCTATCGCTAAAGGTGCGTTCACGACATCACTTTTACGTCATCTCGGTAAAACAGCCCGTATTCATTGGCCAATTCCGATGGAACAGTGAAACAAGAAAGTACTTAAACTGAAAATTCACGTCTTGTAGAAATAACAAAAATGTAGTCGAAGAGAATTGGATGTGATCATATCGAATCAATCTAATATTTTCTTAATTTCTTCCTAACCAAAAGTTTTTTATAAAATAACTTTACATAATTTATTCAATTTATTAAAAATTATCGTACAATCATGTATTTACATATTTAGTTTTTTGTATAATTATATTTAAAAATATTTTTTTTATGAACACTTAAACTGATATTAACGTTCGTAAAAGATCCTCAGGAGTTTTTGAAAATAAACTATTTGGATTTTGATACAAATTTTTTGGATCATGACAAGCTTCGTATAATTGTTTATAAATAGCTCCAATTACTTCAAAAGAACGTTTTTTAGTTATTGAACGATGATTACTGCTTTGCAGTAAACTAATTTGTGGCAGTAATAATACATCCGGCATCACTAAAAATGCTTCCAATTTGTTCTATAACACATTAAAGAACAAATTAAAGATTTAAACTAAAATTTGTTTAGTCTTTCGTTCAATGAATTAATAGTTACATACTGTAAATTCTTTTACGCTTAGAGGATCCATTCCAGGAATGGAAGATAATGGGCCTTGTTCGTGACCTTGTAAAATAGTATAAATTGGACCAAGATTTAAATGTGCCACTAATGAACTGGCTTGTTCTGATGTAAGAGTGTCAATTTGTGCGTCAGATTGCGCCTGAAAAATATTGTTTTATCAATGATAAAAATTCGCAAATTGAAACATGTCAATTACCTGTAATCTTTCTAATCTCTGATCCATATATTCATATAATGCTAAAGTAGACTGTATTTGATGCATACAATTTAGAAGATATACAGCCATGTCTACTGTAGGTAATCTTGATGCTGTTTCATTAACTTCTTGTAACAATGGATCAATAATGCATGATACTATCTGCAAATTATTTGATACATGAAGTCCAATAAAATATTAATTTTATAAAGCAATTGAATGGTAATACAAACCTGTAGCATGTCTTTCTCCCTATCTTCAGCAATACTTGCTACAGAAAGAATTTCATTAAGAAGTGACAATAATCTGGAAACAGATGGTGCAGGTATTAAATCACTTCCTGGAGGTTCTGCGCGTTCACCAAGCGCAATGCGTGTCTCCTTCTGAAGTCTACTCAGAAAACTTTTTTCACTTAGTGTTAATAAATCTGTCAATGTTGAGTCCAAGGTGCTATCTGGTATTACTTGCTGAATTATCATCTCATAAAATCTAAGAAGAGTTGTAACAGAATATAACATTGCTGCTGGTGCATCCATAGATACAACATTCTCTATTCTTGACTTCAAAGGATGACAAAGTCCTTCGGTGATATTACTTAAACACTGTTTAATCTGGTCTGATACATCTAAAATATGTAATATAACCTAAGAAAAATAAAAATAAAAATGCAATCGTCTAATACTTACCTGTTTTATCACAGCCTTTCACCAAAGTAAGAATATTTTCTTTTTCAACAGGAATGACTTGATGAAGCCAAGCAAGCATGTCACCAATATATCTTTTAGGATCATTTGCATGCATTTCGATAGGATTAGGAGTACTACCATATCCTTCTCCTAATGTTAAAGCATCTATAAAAGAGCCTACTAATGCAGTTCTTCTAGCTGCACAATATTCATCTAAGATATATCTGAAAAGAAATATATAAATAAGTACAAAATTTAACAACTTTTAAGATCTTTTAGAAACTTTTAGGATCTTTTAAGATCTCTTATCAAATTTTAGATACACACTTAAATAAAACTGGTCTATCTTGCAATTTATTCATTGCTTTAATTAATAGTGGTGCTAAGCGTTCATTTTCAATATGTTTACATTGGTTCTGTGTCCATCTATATAGTCTTTCAAGGGCTGCCTCTTGCAATAGTGTCATTCTTTGCATAATATCTAGTCCTAATGTTTGATATCCTGACTGCATTAATATTCTACAACTACTATGAATCTCCTGTAATTTAAGGAATCTGTTACTGATTTATCTTTAACAATTTTTTATCTTCATCAATTTAATTATCATACCTGAACACGATTAACTACAGAAAAAAATTCTTCTGTAATATGTGATTCTCTAGTGGAACCATGTAAAATGCTTTGTTCGGATGAAGTCAATTGGAAATTTTTAATGAAAGCATTTGCAACTTCTTGTTGCATAGATAAAGTTTGGCTAAAAATTTTAAAATTACATTTCATATATACTTTTTTTTTATTGATTTATTAGTGATAACTAGGAAATAAATGTACCTTTTATTCTGAAGTTTTGTAGTTTGGTCAATAAGTTGTGATGTTTGCGTTTTTGTAGCTTGTAAACGATTTGTCATACATTGAACTGCAGTATTCATTGCTAAAACATCTTGATATATATCATCTAATGAAGATTTTACTTCTCTGAAAGCAGATAAAAATTCTTCGTTTATTGCAAGACTTCTTCTTTCTATTTTACTACGTAAGTTCCTGCGAGAATTTAATGTATTTTCTGTAAAGAACGTGGATAATTCTTTTAAAGCTTCTAATGTATCCTAAAAAAGAAAGACACCTTAAATGAAATGTCTTTTATTAATATAAATAATAGTAATTATAACAAATATAATACCTTATCATGCTCAACTCTTGATTCAAGCAATTTATTAACTCTTCGAATTAATGTAGTATTAGTATTTTTTTCACTCATTTTATGTTTCTTTTTTTACACTCAAATTCATCGAAATATGTAACCTATTTATGTCAGAAATGTCACGTAGCAAAAGTATGTAAGTATACACATAGCTATATGTATGCACTCAACCACATAACAACCAACGTCGATTCTTTACAGTAATAAATGTGTTAGTTGCGGAGAAAAGATTCGGAAATTTTATTTTTTAAATTACTTACTGAATGTTTCATTTTCCTATCTATTTAAAATTAAGAACTAATATTCATGACATTTTAAATGTTAATTGAGAATTAGAAATCTTGATCTGTTTTACCATTCTAGTTTACCATCTAAGTTATATCAATTTCGCGAAAAGTATATATATATTTGCAAACTTTCAATATGTCATATCAGTTTTACGCTTTTTTGTTCATTAAATGAATTAATATTCGTAAAATCTAATATTTTAGTGAAGTAAAATATTTATAAATTATGATTTTAAATCATAAACGCAACTTAAATAAAATAAGTTACAAAATAAAATATATTATTTTATTGAGGTTAGTGTTTTCCTTTAAATTAATAGTATACAATTCCTTTAAGTATGTAATATTATAATATTAATATTAAAATTTTTAAGTATGATTTCCACAATTGTATAACAACAGCATAATATTATTGTCTTTGTTCACTTTTTTTTTCTTTTGTTGCATTTAAACAGTGGCTTATACATTTATATAATTAATTTCTTTTTATGTATGTCAGTATATTTATTTTTCGCTATAGTTGCTATATAGTTTCAATATACTATTATTTGTTTTTAAACAAATATATTGTAACATGACATTATTTTATTATATGCATTTATAATGATTTGGTTTTAATTTTGTTTTAAGTATGCATGGTTTCATTTAGTTTATTGGTGGTAAAATGTCCACGTCAGAATCTGGTGTGGGATGTATTAGTGAAGTAACACTTGCAATTAGTAAAGCAAGAAGTTCTCAATCAGGCAATGTAAGAGTATTGGATAGTCCGGACTCTGATGGATCTGTCCATTCAAATTCATTTACCGTACAGAGGTTTAATTATCCTGATAATGACAATGCAAATTCAGATATTTTACATCCTCCATTAACTAGTGATGATGTAAGAATACCAATTGTTGGATATGAAGTTATGGAAGAAAGAGCAAGGTTTACGGTTAGTACAATTAAAAATTTATTCTTTTGTATTCTATGTTCATCTTTTTATATGTAGTTTACATTTGATGTGTTCTTTATCAGGTTTATAAATTACGGGTGGAATTAAAAAATGGAGACTGTTGGTTTGTATTTAGAAGATACACAGACTTTGTTCGTTTATTGTCACAGTTAAGAAGGCAAAAGATTCCAATTTCACAATTAAGTTTACCAAGAAAAAAATGGCTTGGGGATAACTTTGCCCCAAGTTTTCTAGAAGAAAGAATACGGGGTCTTCAAGCATTTGTTAATGGAATATTAAGTAGTCCTCTTCTTATAGGAACTGCATGTGTCAGAGAATTTTTTTGTTTAGATGAACCACCTGCTTTATCTGACACAGCAGAAGAATCTAGAGTAAATGTGCTTTCTACAATTGTTAAATTTCATTGTTAAAAAATAAATAAAATGAGAACCATTTCTCTTTTCTTATAGGCAATTTTTGAAGCATTAGAAGATACTATATATCACTTAAGACAGCAATTAAGAGAAAGAGATGCTGCACTTGCAGCTGAAACAGCTCTATGTAATGAATTTCGAAAAAAGTTACATCAAATATTAAGGTAAAAATACAGTGGTATTCATAATAAGCAATAATTATCTAAAATATTAAATTAATATTTCAGTGAAAGACAAACTTGTCCAAAATGTGGAGTATCTCAGCAATAATTTCTGATGAATTAGATATTTACAAATTGACATTGATAAAGACTGGTATAAATGAGCAACTATAGTTTTACTATCTTTGTTTGAATTACTGCATACACTCAATATAAATAATTGTTATTTTTTGTTCTATTGATTAAAATAACTCAATTTTTATATGAAGTGATACATATAAGATTCCTGAATATAAGTACACTGAGCTTTCCTAGCATTAAACTTACATCATATTTTTAAGAAATCTTACAAGGGTGCCTTACAATTTTAATAGACAAATAATTATATATGTCACATACTCTATAGTCAAAGTGTAAAGTTGACAAGTAAACTAGGAGTAAATATTATTAGAGCCTGACTATGAATATATACCAAAGTGTGTTGATCTTTGGTACTTTAAAACTCTATTTTATAGTGCTTTACATGAAATGAGCAATAGTTACGTTTAATAAATTATAATTAACATTAATAATATTTATTATTATAAAATAAAACTAAAATATTAATATTATTAAAAAATTTGTTGACATCACAATATTGTGATAATAGAATATTTATGTAAAGATATAATAAATATTTGACATTTTTATTTTAATTATATTTTATACTTATATGCTAAATTCTCTCTATTATATTATGATCAATATTTATTATATCTCCGTAGTATTTATAAAATAAAAGTATATTATACAATATTTTACAATAATATTTTACAATACTGCACAAAAATATAATTTATTATACATTGAAACAAATTATTTTGTATTTTATAAAAGATGGAATTTTTTAATTAAAAAATGTAAAATGAATAAGAATGTTATTTAACATTATATAATACAGTACTTATATTTATTATCCTAAGTTTAAATCACTTGAGGTACTAAATATATTTCACCCTGTATTTTTCATATTACGAAAATCTCAGTATGTACAATTAAATTCGTATGAAATGAAAAATTATTCCACATCAGTCTTTTTTATCTGGAGCGACAACTAGACATAATATTTGAATCAGGTATGTAATTTTCGCTGAAAAGTTATAAATAAAAATTTATTATATAATGTATCGTATTGTAAAGAATAAAATAATCAGAAAATCTTATTTTTACAATACTCACCTGCTAAAGAACTTCTAACTTTCTTGTAAACGTATGTATGATAGATGCCTATACCGCAAAGAATAAATAATAGTGCAAATAAATATTTGAACGATGGTTCGTGAATAATCGGTGTTACAGCCAGGAAAATAGAAATACTCAATATTATCCAAGGTATCATAATTGGTACTGCGTATGGTCTAGATGCATCTGGTTTCGTTCGTCGCATAATTATTAACGACAACATCGCAAGTCCATAGAACACCCACGTCAAAAAACTTGCGAATTCGATAAGTGCGATAATATCTCCCAAAAGCATACAGAATAACGCAAGCAAGCCTTGAAATGCTACTGCTGCGGCTGGAGTCATTTTCTCAATGTGCACAAAACTAAAGACTCTGGGTATGTGGCCTTCACTTCCGGCTACGTAGCAGAGTCTGGATACTCCAAATTGAATACTAAGACTGCATCCAAAAGTAGATAAAGCGACACCAAAAGGTATTACAAAGCTCAACCAGGAGGGCAGAACTTTTTCCGCCCAGAGAACTGCTACAGCTGGTGCGCTTATCATTTCCGGTATCGTTAAAGCAGCCATGTACATTAAATTCATCGAAACGTATAACACGGTAATCAAAGGTACCGCAATTAGAATACTTTTAAGAATATTAACTTCTGGTTTCTGGATCTCTTCCGTAACGATTGCAGCGGAAGTCCATCCGTCATAAGCCCATAATCCACTGTAAAAGGCTAACGCTACGTCACCAGGTGAATCGGTAGTACCATCAAATGGTTTCTTCAACAATTCCGTATGACCGGTACATAACCACCACATTCCACCAATGATTACAAAAATGCACGCACCTACTTTACATACAGTGAATATATTTTGAACTTTAACGTATAACTTTACGCTGGTTAAATTGATGTATGTGATCAATCCAAGAGCTAGAATAGCTATGAGCTTTTTCAATTTAAACGTCGATTCCTCGGAAAGGTTGCTTAAATATCCGGAAAATGGTTGCACGCTATATTCAGCGAATGTTAACATAATTACAGCCACTTCTGCTGGTCGTAGTAGCATCACATAAACCCAGGAACATATAAATGCAGGTATTTGTCCAGCATATTGATGCAAGGGTGAAAAAGCTTCGATAAAATATGCGTATTCAGCTCCGGATCGTGGTACAACTGTACTTAATTCGGCGAATGCGAGAGCTCCTAGAAGAGACACTATGCCACAACTAATCCAAACAATTAGGCAAAAACCGACGGATCCTGATCTCTCAAGAGCACTGGTCGGGGACACAAAAATTCCAGAACCTTAAATGAAAAATAATTCTTTGTTCAAAATGATTATCAGATTTAATTTCTTTGTAAAAAGAAAATAATATTTCCTAAATACAAAATTGATTTCCTTATTGGCGAAACTTATCAGTTTTAATTAGTTATTATTATTTTTTAGAATAGAATGTACTCTAAAAAAAAGAGAATTCAAATATAATTTCGTTAAGGAAAAAAACATTTCTTTATCGTATTTTGCAAATATATAGATATTGTGATTTCTCTTCATAATTATCAAAATCTCAAACGCGTAAAAATATTATAAAAATATCTGGTTATACATTATAGACAAAACCTCAGTAACAAATGTCGTTTCACATTCGTAGATAAATGTATGATATATTTGTCAGTTTGTGAAGTTTGATTAAAATCAGCTAGATATAGATATACTTAAAGATGCCTCGTAATACTCGAGCGCGTGGGTCAGCGATTAACCTTGATTAACCCCTCTTGATCCGTAATCGTGTCAAAGCTCTGCTCATAATTACCAAAATATATTAGATTTCATTTTTTATTGTACAAAGACATAACATCTAACTTAGCTTTCAAAGAAAAGAAATTAAAGATGTACATTTACTCTCAATTTCTATTAATTCGGTTCTAACTAGATTGGTTGAATTATACTGGAGTAATCTAAATATTGCTTGAGAAGCTTCATCTCATTGTTCTAAAACGTTAGATAAAATATTAAGGCTAAAATGTACTTTTTATTTATGAATATGAAAAATATTGCTATCGTAAAAATTCTATAATCTGTTCGCAATATTTTTTTAAAATTAATATATACTTAACAATTTATGATACGTACATGTTATGTATAATTAAATAACCATAGTTTATTATAACGACTAATATTTGACACTAAATAGTTATACAATACGCTTAAATTGTACGATTATCAGATTTTATATCCAATGTGACCAATGAATGCTTGAATAATTAGATCTACCCTTTCTCAATGAATACCGTGAGAAAGCAATGAGCAATGCTTTGAATTATAATTCAAAGAGATAAATTGTGTTACTGTGTGTATATAGTTGAAGCTTATTCAAGCTCACACAATAATGCAATTACAGTCAACTATTCTTAAACATGTATTTAGTTATCAAAGGAGTTGTCCTAAATTTCTATTGACTTTCATAATCACTAATCATTAATTATTTATATTATTACATTAATCTCTACTACCAAAGCGAAAGGTAAAGTATGATTTATAACAAAATCTTATCTACGAAATGTAGAACATTTTATGATATTATATCGATCATATCAAGTATTGCCAAATGAAAGGAACGAAATATCTTCAGGAACGCAGGTGTTGTTAATATGTGGATCGATTCAAGTAGGTTCTGTTATCATTTCTGAATTGATCTTGTAACTACTGATATTTAACTTATTATTATCTAGCAGTAATACTTCTACGCACAGTTCACGTAATATATGTATTAAAAATTGTTTTTACATAATTCATACGTCAAACGCAATTTGCAATTATATAACTATTATGGCAAGTATTAAGTATTATTAAAATTTTAAACCATATACTTAGATATTTGTGTAAGAAAACAATTAAAAACAATTGATAACTACCGATTGAGTTCGATTTACGTATATGGAAGTTCATTGTTCGAATACTTTATAATTACGTAAGCAACGCAGACAACATATGCTGATAATGCATTCCATATTTCGACCTTTAGTGATTGTCTAATGAATTCATTATTAAACTGAATAAAACTGATTAAATTGCTATTATGTATGAAGAGCGCAGAGGAAGACAAAACAAAAAGCGCAAAATCAACTTTTATATCGGCTGACTTTATGCAACAAATTTAATATTGGTACCGCGAAGAAAACCGTTATTTACTGTTATTTAATATTTTATTACTGTTATTTAATATTTTATGATTGGATGTAATCATGAAAAAATTTAAAGTGTTACACCGCTGTTTTCATACCGATCATAACAGCTACGATGAAGCTTACTGCGCTGAAGAGACCTAGCTCTCGTTTTAGCGCAATTCTTTCATTTCCTTTTTCCTCGACTTGTTCCATTTTGCACAAGGTTCAACTAAATTCTTAACGAGTCCTGATTACCAGATATTATCCAATTCACCAGCACTATAGCGAACTTTTCTTTCTTTTAATTCAAACACATCGCGCGTGCCACACGCCCGACTTCTAAACTGCCTTCGATCGGCTCTACTTTCAATCCGTGTAACGAAGACACGAATCGGCTTCCTTGTGTCTTAGAGCCGGATCGAAGACAATATGACGTTATCGGAAGATGTCCAGAACGAGACTGAAGTGTTAACGGGTCAGTTAGTCGCTTATTTTTACAAGCGTGCAATGGTGCTCCTGATAAAGGTACATACTCCGTACCTTCATCGCGATACCGATATCTTTGACAGTCGGTAGTCCAGCTACTGGATTAGACGATTTACGAGGGACGAAAACAAAAAGAAAGCAAATACCTTCAACAAATATTTGCCAAATTTGTTTTTTCTATTATCACTTAGGGTTTTCCTTATGACCTTATACTTAAAAGTATGTACAAAATTTGTGAAGGATATCGATAGCAGCATAATAAGTACATGCGTCACTTTTTGGTAATTAGTCATATTTTGAAGTATACTGTTCAATTACTTTACATTCGATAAGATAAACTAAATTCCACTCGATTTCTGTGAAATAATGATAATACAATATCTTTGGCGCATATATTTGTATGGCTTCATTATTTCCTTGCTGTTTCATCAATGATTAATCTCAGGAATATTCTTTATGTTATCCCTCATGTAATTTTATCTATAGTACATTTGCATGGATGAAAGATAGAGAAAGTTTTTAAAAGAATGAGTACAAGAATGACATATTGTACATGATATGTAGACATTATTCAGAAATAATGTTATTATTTCCAAAGAGAAAGAAAAATTCTATAATTCTATAATTGAATTAATTTTATTTATAATCTTGAATAATTTTCTTGTTTTGTTTAATATTTTTTCAAGTTTTCTCGAAATTATTAAAATATAAATTATATATTGAAATATTAAATATAAATTATTAAATATATTGAAATATAATATTAATTGAAAGGTAATACTTGCAAAAGAAAATAAAGATAAATTTTATCTTATATAATATTAATATTTGAAGTAATGTTCGCACATGTGTTTTTGAGTTGATAACGAAGAGCATGCGTACCGAAGTGATATCGTGAAAATATTTCTGTAATATTTTGCTCTTAGTTGTTTATGTTATAAATCAAATTTACACTGTATTGAAAATGATAACTAGAATAAATAAATGTACATTATATTTGACTTTCTGATTTAAGTGTTTTTAAGTTGATAGATAATTAAGGTTAATGCGTCATAGTGAATACACGCATAACCTATCTAGCAGCTAAACGTTAATTAGCGATGGAAGATGAGGAAAAAAGATGTCACGAAGAGCCTAGTGAATTTTATTTTGAATCTGATCATTTAGCATTAAAAGGAAATAAAGATTATAATACTGTCTTAAAAACAATCGTCATTCTTGAAGCACAACGTGCTCAAGCTATAGAAGATCTAGATAAACTTTTATCAATTCGTTCTAAAGCGCTAAAGGATCCGATATCTTTTGTAGCTCAAATACAAAATGGTGAGCTACCAGAATTACCAGGGCCACAAAAAATTGCCGAAATCCCTTACATTGATTGGAAACAATATAACATAGCTCCACCTGATACGCGAATGAGACCACAAACAAGACATGGGCACATTTTGCCACATATACAAACAAAATCAGAACAGGAGGATGGAAAAGTATGTTATATTGTATATATTTCATATACATGTATTAATTAGAATATAATTAGATTTTAGTAAGAGGACGTGCTTTTGATGAAAGCAAACCAGAGACTTTCAATCAATTGTGGACAGTAGAAGAACAAAGAAGACTAGAGGAACTTTTAATTGAATATCCACCAGAAGATGTTGAAATGAAAAGATGGACTAAAATAGCTAATGCTTTAGGTATATTAACAATATCACTTTTGTCACTTGGATATATTAAATTTAGTTTTTTAAATAGGTAATAGGACTCCAAAACAAGTGTCCAGCAGAGTCCAAAAATATTTTATTAAACTCTCAAGGGCTGGACTACCTATACCTGGTCGAGGTCCCAAAATGAAATTAGACATTAAAAAAGGAAATGGTCATAGACATCAACGCCATAATTCTTCATTATTGAGACGTTCTACATTTTTTCCTCATCAAGATATGTCCTTTGCAATACCTGATGAAAGCAAAGAACAGATAATTACAGAAGAATCTGTGTGTTATAATTTTATAGCTTGGTGCAAATCTAATTTATTTTATCTACTTTATTATTTATATTTATAGGAAGATGATGCTGGAAATAGTATTGATGATAATCCTGAACTGAGACACATAGAATTACTAAAAGAAGTAAAAATTGAGAAAGAGCAGAATTTGTCTCCTATATATAAACATATTGGGTATAAGGTATGTATGGGATATGTATGGCGTTGTTAGAATATAAAAAGAGCTCGGAGATTAATAATTTATATTTATAGTGTTCAATTTGTGGAGAAGACCCTTTAATAGGTACAAGGTGGCATTGCACAGAATGTCAAGATGGAATTGATTTATGTGCTGATTGTGCTGTAGCACAATTAGAAGCTGAAAAACCATTACATGATACACTACATAGACTGATTCCTATAAAACCATCCCAATATACTAGAAGCTATGATCTAGATTATTTTCCACAAAGTTTCAGTAACTCTTCTTATAATTATTTAGATCCTAATTTTTTACCTGAATAATTACTACTTGATCAAATAAATAAAAATTTAATTCTCACAAAAGTACAATGTAAAAATAATTTATTAAATATTAATATATTTTTAAAACTGTTACAAACTTATAAGTTTAGTGTCTTTCGTATATGTAAATTCTTCTGTCTGAATGACATTGTTCTGCTTAAATTTTAAATTAATTTTCTTTTTGTAATCGTCAAGAGTACCACGTTTTATATTCTCCCGAATAATTTTGAAAAATTCAAGATATTGATGCACATTATGTCTGAAAATATAAATCAATACATTAATAATCGCATACATAATAATAACAATAAATTATCTACAATATATGATTAGAACTTACATCATTAAAAGAACTTTGCCAAGTAATTCTTTTACATTACATAGATGATGTAAATATGCTTTGGTATGATTTTTACATGTAAGACATTCACAGTGGGAACATATTGGAGAAAAGTCATCTGCATATCTATTATAAAATATTTTCTTATAAAAATTGAAGAATAATTATAAATTCAGTTTTACATTACCTTCCTTCTGTAAACGATATTATATGTCCTATATTATTACAATCGTCGCGATCACATAGAAAAGTTAAAGCTTCTAAATTTTCAGTAATTATGTAAGGATACGATGTATCAAATATATCTACACCCAATTCAACGAGCTCTAATACTGTAAGAGGATTCCAACATCCCATTGATACTCTAAGTTTTTCAGTAGGTAAAAGACTCTGGAATCAGTATTATTTATAAAGAATTAATATAATTAAACTATACAACAATACAGAATTTTTTACTTACGATTGTGTGTTCTACTATATCTTTAATTTGTTTTGCTGGTATATCTTTCACATGTGGTCCATTATTATGCAATCCATCAATCACATATCCTATTAAAGGTTTAGTTTTCAAATGATTTATTGACACTGTTCTAGCATCTTTATCATAACCACCTTCAATTGCACCTAATATTTCAGAAGACTTCAATGCTTCAGATGAGGAATGTTTAATAAAACATTGTTCAAAAAATGTCAAGCTATTTTCTACAGATTTTGATATTCTTTTTCTACTACTGTCAATATTAGTATCTCCATCACACAAAGCAACATACATGTCTGGTTTAAATGTTTCAATTATGTCCATATATTTATCAACTGTCATTGCATATTTTCCACATCTTGTCCATAACGGAATGATTTTAGGTTCTCGAAAACCTGAAGGTGTAGTAAAGGCTGGATCATGTATTGCAAGAAAATTGATGTACTCCTAGACAAATATAATATTTATTATATTTTTATTTAAAACTAAAAATATAAATATTTATTACGTACCTTCATACCCACAAAATTTGCAAAATTAATATTACAGTCCTTCATTGTTTCCTGCATTAAATATGTAGAAGAAAGTGAAACAGATAACATTTGTGGACTTGAAGTAACCATTTTAAAAACATCTTTAGTCAAATGTGGTACACAGCCTCCCTAATAAAAATATTATAATTAAAATATTTCAATTTTGTTTCAGATTTCGAATCATGAAATTTTACCTTTGTATAAACAAGAACAAGAGGAGTTTCAAAAGTGCTATTAGGAATTCTTTCAAATTCTGTTAACAATCCAATACGGGCAGCGCAAGATTTTATTGAATTAGTAGTGAATTTCATATTGACTGCTATTAATATTTACCATAATTTATAAAAAAGTTAATTTAATAAATATTTTAATCATTAAGTACAATAATATAGTTCCACATTAAGACATAACCTTAATAAAATGCACATGGTATTCATTAGTTTGGTATATGTTACTACATTGCACGCTATAAACATGATAGATCTGGCTAGATTTAGTCATTGACTAAAAACAGATTAGATATAATATTACATAAAATTTCATGCCTGAAGTTCTGAAATACCGAAAAAAATCTTACGTTTTCTATGGATTGCTATGTTGAAATATTTTTTGTGGTTTTCACCATTGATTAAAAATAAAATCGACTGGACATTAAATGAGATTGATTGGATAATGTCTCAGGATCTCAATATCGGGAAAAAATCACTGGTTTTTCAGCGTCCTTAACGCTTAGACTATTGACATGTTGAAATATAGAGTAGATTTATGTCTAGTTATTTTTATTAAATTTTAACTTAAAATTAGACCAAGGTTTAAAAAATAAAATTACAGACGTAACATTTTTGTAAAAATTTTATTCAATGAATGAAAAGAATTAGGGGAAGAAAATTATTATTCTTTCTTCCAATTTATGCAATATATTTTCGTATAAAATGCGCGCACATAAATTTTAACTTTGTGTGAAGATTACAGCGCCAATAAAGCGGTGAAATTTTGCAATTACGTATTGCGATTCTAACCATAATCGATGTTTTTCGTAATCGATCTAATCGATTGAGATGTAACGTAAAATCGTCAGTTTTAGATGAGAAAACGACAGTAAAAAGCTGCTTAGAAATGATCAAGTAAGGACTATTGCTAAGACTTGTTTTTATATTATTATGTTTTATATTTTATATTATCGAAACATCTACAATTTAAAACAGTAAATATTATTTAAAAGAGTTATTGTATATATGTATTCAATCATAATCGTGATTTGTTACAGACATTTCCCACTGGATCTAACGGTTTTTATTTAGTGATATTTGCAATGAATTCTTCTGGATCACGTTTATGATACATATGTTGCTACCCGCATCTAACTGTAAGTCGTATGTTCTTTTTATTTTTCTGGTCATTCAATTATGATACTAAATTATCACGAATATGAGTAAGAATAAGAATAAATAGTTTCAAAAATGAACTGAATGTTTATACCACAATGTATTATACGAAAATTGTATTGAAATTAAAGATATAATAGTTTATATTTCGGATGTATATGGAATCAATGCCTGATTGTTAAATACTGAAAGTTTTTTTTCTACAATCGTTTGTCAAATTACCTTTGGAACAGAGACGTCTATTTGAATTAATATGACAGTATACAATCGGAATGTATTAATACTGAAAAACATTAAAATATAATAATGTTTCGCGCAGTCATGGACAAGGTACGGAATAGACATCTATGATATGGAAATTCGTATCATACCATTGACTAAAGATAGAATAGACCAGACTAGGTATATGAACAGTCATTGCATCTTACTGATTTGTTTTCGTGATCTGACATATCGACATAGTAAAATATCACTGGTTTTTTAGCGCAATCTATGTTTAAACACAGACACAAACAAGGTATATGAAGTGACTCGTCACAGACCTCGTCTGTGGCCACGGTAGATAAAATCGAGTTATTATAAGATCAACAGTCGGTACACTACAGAAACGCGGTCAAATTGAAACTGCGATGTAAAATATTAGATCACATTGTTAATAATAGTAGAAAAAAAATAATACTACATTATTATGACTAATAAATAATGATAATAATTTGAATTCTTAACATATGGTTTATTAATTAATTGAAAATTGTTTATAGATATGAAATTTTTATCTTTATTTACTGTACAATTTCTTACATACAAAAAGTGCAATGCCTTTAAAAATTGGTCACAATAATTGACTTAATTGCATACAGAATGAGTTCATTCATGTACACAAGTATTTTACGATTATATACATTTCTTTACAAGTTGCAATGTTATATACAAATCATGTCAGCAGTTACAGATGGAAACTTAGTACTTTGTTGTACCGTAGAATTGTCAAACATTTAAGATAATAATTCGATATTTTCAGACGACAGCTTTTATAAGAAATGAAGAAAATATTTTTAATCTTTTCAGGAATTTTAAAGTATATATCCCTGTTTGTGGTACATGATTGTAAATAATAACATAAAATTAATTATTGGATTTAATTGCAAATTATATGACAATTCATTTTTAGTACCGTGTCATGTCAATAATCAGATGAAAGTTAATTACTAACTTATAAACTTTCTTATTTTTACAATTTCACACATACACTTTTATACATTATTTCTCCCATTAGACTTCGCTAAATCACTATATTACATCTTACACTCGTTCTATAGTTACAAAAATTAGGGGCAAGAAGCATCACATCACATAGAAAATACAGATTCGTTAGTCAATCGTGGATTTGTGTCAGGAACGTTGTCGTGGTTGCAATAAAAACTTAATTTTGCTCTTTTCACCATAATTATCATGCTGATATCGGACAACCGCAGTCCTTCGTTTTCCGCGATTAGCACTTTAAGAAGCGTCGTGATTGAAATTGTATATTTAAGATAAATCATACGTTTCCTGTCCATTTCGTAATGATGCATTTGATTTTAATCGATCGGTAACGGTCTACGCAATAAGATCTGTAACAGTTTACGCAATAGGAATTTCAACACACCGTGTTGCGCCACATATATGCTAACACACCGAGGACATTGCATAAACGACAGAACGGAATTTTTTCTTTCTATTTTTGCGACACTTTCTGATTCTATAGCATTCTCTTGGAAAAGAACTCCGTTTGTACGAAATTTTGCTTAGTTTTCGATTAAGTGAACTCCAGCCGACTGAATTCATTCGTCTAAACGTGAAATTCTATCATGTGAACACGAAATATCGCAATTGATCAGTGGATTATTGTATAAATTCCACAAACTGATAAATGAAATTTCATTGATACAAATGGAATCCAACCGTAGATGTACAAACGACTTCCTATTTCGATCATCAGTAACAGATAAAAAGTCACGCTATGTTTCCTCGTTCAAGGAACTTTATTCGCAGATTCGTCGTGACGGTTCGTTCGTGACGAAATTGTCGGCGGGGCTTTCAGCGAATAAAATTTCAAGAGGAGGGCACGCGATGCGCCAAAAGCAGCCGGCGAACAATTCAGCGGCGCATGGGATTTCATTCCACGAAGCATTTTTCCGGTTGTGGGAACGCCGCGAGTAACGAGGAACGCTCAGGTTTGCCGCGATTTCACCGGTAATTCGAAAAATGTATAGGAATTAGCGGGAGCGGTATGCGTGCACGCGGGGATAAGGGACGTTTCGGTGGCAGCGGCGACAAAGGTATTCGCCATAGGCACGTAGATGCGTGAGTTTATGCGTGCGCGCTGGCGTAACCCTTCGTAGCGAGAGGGAACGCGAAAACGAGCAAAAAGTGGTGAAAGGAGGAGGCGAGGTGTGCGGGTCGCCAACACATATCTCGATATCTCACGGTTCGATCTTTCTCGGCCCGACCGCCCGTATATTTACATGTATAATTTATATATCCCGTAGCAGGGGCGAAGGTGGTGTGTGCCCAGCCAGGGCGGGTCCGAACGTCCTTACGGCCCCGTACTCCTTCCGACGCATCCTCGGCGTGCGTTGCACCACGCTCTATGTATCGCCCATTACACACGCCGTTCACGATCGATCGAGAATTTCGCGGGAATACAACGAGGTAAATTCCCACGATCCTGCCGCGCTGCCGATTTTCGAGAAAGCGTTTTAGGATTTTAGAATCTGGAATAGTTGATGGATGAGTATTCGTTCGGTTTGAGGACTTCTCGGAATATCATAATAGCGGGAAGCGAGATTTCCTGCGTGCGTGCAATTACGTAAAAAAAAACTAGGTAAAAGTAAACACGACTGTATAAATTCGCATTTGAATTAGACAAAGTTAAGAATGAAAAATTCAATCCTGATATTTTTGAGCTTGAGCACAAACTCTCTTAGTCTTTCTTGCCCAACATATTTAATCTTCGCGGTCAATTTTTTTTAATTAAAAAAAGAACATGTCGCCACATTTACATCTCGATTCATTTATCATTTTTACGTCTTTTTTTTTTTTTTTTTGGAGATACTGCCACCAAGTATTCCTTGAGCCAGAAGAGAAAAATTCGTTGGTGAATCGCTCGCGAGTCTGACCGATACAAGCTCGTCGCTTAAATGCGGAAGATTCTGCGCGGAGGGAAGCGGGCCTTAATTAAGCGAAGGCACCAACGAATTCCATAATACCGTTCCCGTTCGCGTAACACGACCACGATAAGAGCCTACCCATCCGACAGCGCGGCGCGTTCGTGGGATTTTTTTCGGCGAAATAATGCGCCAGCGCAGGGTATCGCCGGCTCTCCCTATCGCCATTGTGGCCACGAGAGAGCAATTAATTATTGCTTGGCCGCGAGGAAGTGCATTGTTGCATCTACATGTTCTCCTCGGTGTGTATAGTTAAGCGGCGGAGCTGTGAATGATTCCGGGCGTCGCGGAACGATTTTTTCGGCCAACGAAATGTTGCGTTCCTCAGTACGCAACGAACCGAATGACCGCGGTAATTTATAAGCTCGCAGAGAAGAAAAAGATATGTACCTTTCGCCTTCCGGTTTACGCGGCAACTGTCGGTTAGCTTGCATTAGCTTGCGTTATCTCTGTTTCTCCAGCATCTTTCTTGCACGAAGTACTTGTACGCACAGAAATTGTATCGATCGACATCGCGTAAAGTAAAGTAAAACGACGTTGTCTCTTTAAATAGTATTAAATAGTTCGTTTCACTTCGATTCAAAGAATCAAATGAACGGCAAGTCATCGTTCAGATCTTCATATTAATTAAAAGTTAACGAAGATTCGCGCGTATGAAAAAAAAAAGAAAAAAAGAAATGGCTTCGTTGGTTAAGACGTGATGCCGAACGTGGAAAGTATGTGTGGTGATCGTGCGCCGACAAACCGTGGGTGCAGGTGAGATACAAATGAAAGACGTAAACGCGGACGCGGCGGAGACTCTCGAAGGCAGAACGTCTCCTTCAGTTCGTGTTCTGTCGAAGGAACAATCGAGCCTGTCCGAGAGAAGGTAATTAAGAGAACACGACGGCGTCGATTAAACGAGTTCTGCCGAATCGGGTGAAACGAATTAATTCTGCCGTCGAACGAGGGTCGAAGATAAACGATTAAGCTTGACGAAGCCGGAGAATCCTGTTTAACGATTCAGTGACGAATACTATCGCACGATGCCGTGAAACAGTCACCCTCGCGTTGAAACATGTTCTCCGATGGGCAACCTTTCGCTGCAGAATTTAAATATCTATATCGCATGATTTATAATTTCCGTTTAGAAGCTGGTCTCGCGCGAAATTCATAATGAAGATTATCAGAGGAAGACAAATCTTAATTAGTTAAAATCTTGCATTCATCATTTTCACGGCGTCTGTGAATATAATTTCCTAGTCGGAGAGTCTCATTTTAGAGATTGAATGATTAAAGATGCAAACGAGCGCGATGGAAACATTCGTTCGTTTTATCAAGAGCATCTGAGAGCTATTTGAAAAAGGCGAGGAGAAAAAAGGAAGGATTACGAAACGTTGTACATCGGAGAGAAAAGATATCGTGCAGCATTCCGTGCAATTCGCTCGAAATGCAAAAGCAGAGCGGATGTAGCCGAGGGCGCTGACTGAAAGCCCCCGAACGTCAAATTACGAAACACCTGTTCTTCGAAACGACTTCATTCCAATCGGTTTCGTGCGTTTGTTGCTTCGTGCTCTCATTGCCTTCCCGAGGAGACCCTTTCATTTCGCGTCCGCCAACGAATATGGTCGATAGGACGAAGAACGCCGAAGACCGCGAGCAACGCTTGCGAATCCGACTGCCACGTTGCGATAATAAGAATAACGCTCGTAACGCGCTAGATCGTTAATAAACTAACAGATTCATTCCTTCCGTGGGCGGTCTGATTCCCTGAGAGGAGAACAATAACGGCATTGTAAGTGCGGTATAAAATTTCGTTACGCAAGTTTCGTTGACAAAGCGCGAGAATTAGTCCGCTCTTCTCCGAGCGGAACAGTCGATGTGCTCTTAAAGACGGCATTGACTGCCGCGAAGTATTATAGTTGCCACTGTAAGTGGAAAATATTTATGGCACTAGCGCGTTTCACGCAAACCGTTGAAGACGCGGATTTCGTCGTCAACGAGCTATTCTTCCATCTTTATACTGATAGTTGAATCGATCGTTTGCTCTTTCACGTTGCTCGGCACGCGAATACTCCCGAGTTCTGATCGTCGCGTGAAAAACTCCAGTCTTCAACCTCGGCGATCGAACCACCGAAATCAAAACGCAAATAAAAGAAGACACTGAAACACAATCGTCCGAAAAATGTCTCGATAAGAGCTTCTCGCTTATTGTTAATCCACAACAAGGAAAAAAAGAAAGAAAGAAAGAAAAAAAGAGAAAGAGAAATTTCATCCTAAATATAGTCCGATGGCACGGAGCTCTCGTTTATCGCTGCCAATCGATATTGAGGCGTTTCCAAGCCCTGCGGGTTTAGATGAAGGTTCGTGTTGCTTCCAGAAGACGCCGCCGCGGGCATCTGTTGATTCGCCGAATTCGAGCTCAGGTCGCTGTAGTAAGCGCTACTTGGCGCGCTGCTCAAGGTTGGCCCGTCTGGTTCGGCGTCGCTTCCGGTGTACGCCGTGTTCTGGTACGACGGATGATCACCGTTTCTACTGCCGATCCGTAGGTCTTGGTGATGATGGTGATGATTGTGGTGGTGGTGGTGGTGATGATGATGTTGCATCTGACCTGGAGGGACCGGTGTCGACGGCCCGTTCTCGTACATCTCATAATCCGGTTCTTGTAACCTGGAAAGATCATATTACGTCGACTCGTAAACATTGAGAAGTTGATCAATTAACCTGTTAAACGTGTTTGAACGTATATAACGTATCGACGTATTATCAGAGGCGGGATCATCGTAATTCTAAACTGACAGAGTTTAATAAGTATTAATAAAATGAAATTTATTCGATGCTTGCTCGTGGTGTACGCATGCGTTCGTTAAGCGGGTATTTGGTTTCCAAACAACGAATATGCAATTAAGCGAATACACCGGCGACAACGTTACGAAGGTCAGCGTCGAACGTTTCGTTTCCTTTTCGAATATTTATATTTGATTGAGCAACGGAGATGCATATTAATAGGATAATTATGCATGCTAACGGTACATTCTAGTCAGGTGCATTTCCCGTAATACATGCAGATTGCATGTCATCGTCAGTGTCCCAAGCGTTGCCGACGCTTGTCCTTCGAGACTCGAGAAGCCGTGTGAAACTGATCGCACAGACATTCAGGTTTCGATGTTCGCAGAAAACTTTGGACCCGACATAATCGTGGAAAAAAATAGACATTTAACGGTTCACTATAAAACATAATCGCGGCAGTCAGACCGTAAATTCTAAAAGTAGAGGTAACTATTGCAAGAAATTATGGACGGTAATGGCCCGAGCATAATACGTCGATTGGTATAACATCGATGCGCAATCAATTACCGACAGTGCTGCTTTAATGTGCAAAAACAATTAAAGGAAAGGCCAGCTGACTGCCAGCTATGCATTGGAATTATGAAAGCTTGAAGCTTTAAAGATTCATGAGGGTGTGTTCCAGCGCGATGGCTGCCGGATAGAAAACGATTAGAACGACCTCCATAATCGCTCCGCGAGAGGAACAACTCGGCGAAAAATTTTAATTACAGGGATTAATTTACCTTTTACTGTGACGCGTACGAAGTGTGTCCCTCTGCAAAGATCCGTCGCCGCTGCTACCGCCGTAATGACGATGTAACCTTGCGGCGTCTAGTTCGTGGTATTCGTCGTCCTGTCCGCCGGAAGTTGTACCGTACGTCGAGCTTCCTCTCATTTGTAGCTGGAGATCGCTCGCGTAGCTCGCGGCCTGAGAGTCCAGTTCTGCGTACAGGGCTTCGTCCGTTTGCATGTGGGTGTAGTGGTTCTCCACCGGGAGATTCATGGCTCGTCTGTGTTGCGGAAGCGACAGAGGCGTCGTGACGACTCCCGGTGTACCGCCGCCGCGTCGCGAGCCTAACCACGACCACACATTGTGCCCTTGAATCACATCACACCAGCCCATACAAGTCGCGTACTTTTCATTTGCTCTACGTCAATTATCGAGTGCCAATATTCCACCCATTATTACCCATGTACAGACTAGAGTAGTCAAAGTACTCGTGTACATTACTATGGAAAATCGTTTCGATACAACGATGGGAAAAAAACGAGATAATACCTTGGACAGTATCTTAGATTCAGCAAAATTAAAATTTATTTATTAATTTTACGAGACAAAAAGAGAAATTGATAGTTTGACTTGACTCGAGTAGTCCCAGAGTACTTGCGGAAGAGATATGGTGCAGCGATACGACGATGATGTGTTTGCAACGATACGTACCAGGACTAGGAGCGACATCGTGATAAGGCGGTAGCTTATCGAGCTCGAGAGGTGGCCGGTCGGGTATAACGGCCACTCCACTGCCAGCCCCGCCGCCGCTACCTGGGCCACCGGTCTCCTGGACGTTCGAATCCTCGACGCCGACACTGCAGCAACTCGCTAGAATAGAAACAAAAAAAAGAAGAAAAAAGAAAAAAAAAAAAGAATGTAGAGAACGCGTGAGCGTTCGGTCCCTTGGAAAATTCGTTCGGCAAGGACCGTGAGTGAAAGTCGCGCTCGAGTTTCAATGAAACAGGGACGAAACCCAGTGGAACTCGAATCGAGGCGAAGCTCGTGAAGTGCCAGGTGAGCTCCGACAGAATCCTGTTACGTTGCACGGTTATACACACGTATGTATACGTACAGGCGCAGGATCACGTGCGTAGATATATTACACGTACGTATGTGTACACGGACCCGAATCACCGCATTATGACATGAGCTCGCGTACGGGGAGAGGAGTGGGAAAAAAGCGGCTGTTTTCTGTATGGCCTCATTGTATGCCCGTCATCGTGCTGTCACGGCGCTCATAGAAACGCGGCAGGGTTTGGGGTGGTTGGTGAGAGAGTAGGGGCGGGTGGAGGAACCAAGAAGTAGAAGAGGGAAGGCAACGAGGATAAGAAAGACGAAGACAAAGACGAAGACGACAGGGAAAGAAAGAGAGAAAGAAAAAGGGAATTTGGAATTCATAGATCAGAGATGCCGCCTGGTGGTAAGTGAGCATGAGAATGCTACGGAGAAAAAACGAGATTATGGGAATCTCTCTCTCTCTCTCTCTTTTCTCGTGGTTCATAATCTACGCATGTAAGTACGAGACTCGTCGGTTGTCGTCGTCGTGGTCGTCGCTGTCTTCTGGCCGGTGGTTTTCGCCGCTCGAAACCGTGGAGTCTCGGAGCGGAGTCGCGCGTCGCAACGCGCCTTGGCGGCTGTCACTTGCCAGGAGATACAGAGACTGGTTCTCGTTTATCGCGCGGTACCCTTACACCAACGGCACGGACAAGTGTGTTGCTCGTGCAACCAGTATAATCTTCTTCCCCCCGTGGCTCACCTAGACGCTATTTTCTCCTTCTTCCGAGAAGCTGCAGGCTTGCCTGTAGGATAATCACCGATACGCTCTAACGTTTCAGAATGAAAAGCAGGGTGACGTACCCATGGTGAAATTTAATTCCTCGGTTCTTTCGCGACTTATCCGGAGTCTATGGATATTTATAACGAGCCGTTACACCGTAATTTGCATAATTAGCGTCTGCCTGGCTACGAGATTACTCGGTAATGGGAGATGCGAGTAAAATCGCGCGCAAAACTCCATCGACGTATCGGTCGATGCATTTCAACGAGAGCGAGCCGATTCGTCGGTAAGTTTCAACATTTTCATCCGACTAACGGGTACAGGGCCTCGGCTTGACAAGCCGAGAGAGGTTATTTGTCTTCCATTATGTAAAGAAAATTGTTGGCCGTTGATTTGCGCGCGGAGACACGCGAACCTGCTCGATCGGGACCAATTACCAACTAGCCACCTTTCGAACGTTTCAAAGATTTCAATTGCCGCGAACGCCATTCCCCTCGACCTTAATCAACCTTCCATTCATTACCAGGCAATCTCGGTGCTTGGCTCTCCATCACTCGCGAGGATTGGCGAGCGCGCGCGACTTCATTTGCGCGCGACTGCCTAGAAATCCAAGTGCAATCGATTACATCGGCGAGCGTGCGGTAATCGCGTTATTTATCGTCGAACGCCAGTCTCTGGCATTCGTTCAACGTACGCACCGAGCAACGGCAATTTAGCATTCCGCGGCATTCGCTAAGCCATTTATTGCTATCGTAAATAAGGTGGTGTCGATTTATCGGTTTGCCACTTGAATAACACGGCCGACGGAGAGATCGGTCCTCCGTCGGTTTATAATTGAACGTCCAACTGTCACAAAGATCGCTGCGTCCCCTTTCTCGCGTCCAACGACCGTGCCGCGTCCGAGAATGAGAAACCTTGCACGAGACGCGCGTACACGAGGTTTTACCGGCTGATTACGCCATACTTCCCACCTATTCGGCGAGGTGAGGTAACTGGATCCATCTCTCTTCCAGGCTGTCGCTTCGCGTCACATTTCCGTGGACGCGTTAACCCGCGTGATTTACTGGATTAGATGGTTCGAATATTAATTGGCCGACGGATGCATTAGCCCAGCGACCGAGAGCGTGAAAATCGTGCCGTGCCGTGCCGTGCCGTGCCGTGCAGTGCCGCGCCGTGACAGCGGGGGGCAAATGTTCTCTTCACGATCTACTAGATTCGAACGGTTAGATTCTATTTCCTGGCAGCCGTGCGTGTTCGTTAGGGATCGAGGATGGGTTGTACACGGTTCTGTTTGACGTTCATTCGCCGGTTCTGGTTCCTCCTCGCGCGTCATCATGTCAAAAGGATCTCCACTGATGTGAGAAAAAGTATACCTCCTCTGTAGTCTGACCTTTTTTCGAATTTCTTAAATGACAGAGCCACCTTTGCGTTCTGTATATCTCTTCAGCTACTTTAGACGCTTTCGGGATGTAGAAGTGTTCGTGTAACGAACGCGAGTCGCAGAAAAATCTTCCGTCCTTTCTCTCGCGAAATTATAATCCTTTCTTTTTTTTTTCGTGTACAAAGAATTGGAAAGAATGTCCATTGAACGAATAACACACGTTGTCGTTGATTTTCCCGGGAGGGAACAGCAGCCGATTCGGCGTATCGGGCGAAGGAACGCGCGATAAGCCGATTAACGTATTCGATTCACCTATTCTACCCGGGACCTCGAATCGCCATTGTGTCGCGTTGATCGCGCGGGAACCTAACGTGTACCGACTCTCGTCTTTTTTGCGCAACAGCCCCTTTCAGCCGTCCATTAACGCCTCTCTTGTCCGTTGGCATTCGCCGCGATTCTTACGCACGGTTGTACGCTTCAACGATGTTTCATTAATTCGTCCACATTTTCCTTTTTCTCTCCTCCTATGAAATTACCCGCCGCACCGCGCAAGCATCGCTGCGCGCACGCCTGGTTGGTTATTCAACCAACTTACAATTAGTCACCTTTAATCCAACCCTCTCTTGGTAGAAATTCCAATTACATCCACATCCGAGCGCAGCTATAATTTCATCGCTGACAAGTTTACATAGGCCGGTGGATGAATATACTCGCGGTAAACAGATTCGCGACGTTCAACAGTCGTGGCTTTAACGTAATTAATAGAAACGCAGGTAAAGTAAAAGAAAATCGGATCGAGGGCTCGGACTTCCTCGCTGCGTGTAAGAAGAACACTCGCGTACGTTATATCTCGTAATTTACAGCTTCCTTAAGCTCAAATTTACGAGATCGTAATGGGAGGTGGAGGGAGTTCTTTAAATACTTTACGAGCGCTCCATGTTCCTTGTCATTCCAAGTTTTTGCGCGTGGCGAAGTGTTTCCTCTCTCTCGCAAGATATACATTTCGCATTCCATTGTCAGTAACGCTGTCTTATTATTGCTTCTATCGCTCGGTGGATAGCTATTGCGTCTATTCGCGTTTAATTAGCCGAGGCCAAACCCTTCGATTAATTACTCGTCTAAATGTTAATCGCACGCGATACAGTGGATTTCAGTGCCGGGGCGGAAATCATTATCTCGGATGGTAGAGGTTAATCAATCCCCCCCCCCCCTCCCTCGTAGGTAGACGTAGTGGCGTTTGGCGCCACTGGCAGACACCGTTGTACTGGCCCTGAGTGATTACGACGTAGCGGTGTGAAGAGCACTTAAGAAGCAAATCGTGGATCGGTGAAGAACGACGACTTGGAGGAGTCATCCAAGGAGGTTCGGTAAAACGAGTGTCGGATAATTAATTCGGATGACCCTTGTATCCCTCGGTCGGCAGTAACTTGCCCTTTCTCCTTCTATTTGCCCCGGTTCCCGTTCCCGTTCATCCTTGCCAGAGCTTCTTCGTCGGTTCGCTCGGCTCCGCTCGTAGCCGGCTGATCCGTTGATCGTATCGTACCGCGGGTGATTTTAAATCAGAAAGTTAATTAGACGCGTTTCACTGTCCTTTATGTCGCCCGTCCGTCGCGTCGCTGAGCCAGGCTATCTTTTACGTGCGGGCAACAGCAGCAACAGCAGCAGCATCGAGAGGTAGCGCAGCCTGAATATACCTTGCGCGACGGCGCTGCGCCGGGCCTTCATTATGCGAACTAATTAAACTCCAATCGGTTCTGACACTCCACGCCACCGCTCTACTACGTTTCTCGTTTGCACCAATCGACGCCATATGCCTCACGTGACTGTGTGGCCGATGTGTCGTCCCTTCGACGGATCAGAGCATCCGGATTTAAGTACGTACACGTTTGTGTATGAACCTTGAAACGATCGAACCTCGACCGTTCGACGATTGATTGCTTCAGACGATAGCTCTTTTTGTTTCTTCGCGTTTCCGCAAGGTTCTTAGGGACAATTTCAATATGCAGAATTTCCTATACCGAGCCAATTTTCGATAATTTTCGTTATAACAAGCACAGGGCAGGACGGATTTTTTTTTTTTTTTTGAAGGACCCTGAATCCCTTTTGTCGATCGTGCTACACGTGGCACACAGGTTTTCTGAATGCAGATAAGGTTTCAAAGAGTGTTCACAAAGGATCAGAAAGGAATTATTAGAAGGATATCATATTTTAACGACGGATACGGAGGGTAGAGAAAGAGTGGAAGTTTGAATTGATATCCTGCCTGGGGGATTGGAATAATTGCGAATCGGCTTGAATGTGATCCGTCGGGGTACAAGTCGTAACCAGAACTATAATTAAGGCCATTTGGTACGCCTATTATACTAATTTTCTATATCAAGAGCGCGTCCGTGTGTGTTATTATTAAGAGAAACTTACTATTGGTTCGATTAATCTTTCTGATTTGTAAATGGAATATTTTTCATTAAAAACGGACGTGTCCCGTAACTGTACGTATACGTGAGATTATCCAATTACATTGCCTCTGTATTAAACACGATAAGCGTATTACCAATAATCGTACCTAATCCATCCTATTAGGTACGATTAGATTGCAAAACTCACGAGAGTATGCATTTTATAACAAATCTCGAGAATTCCTCTTACCTCTGCCACCGGTGCTTTTTAATCTGTAACATAGAAAAAAAAAAAAAAAATGCTTCTATTGACGTGTATTTTTCTACCAAGAATCTTTTGCACGAAACTTCACACCAGTTAATAATTAAACTTCCATTTCATTGTTATCGTTTCAATTGTGCAAAAGATTCTCGTTTGATTCTTAACAGTAACAACAGCCTGTAAGATTCACGGGTGTAAAGATAAAAAGAATGAACAGAGGATATAAAACCTCGCCTATATTCAGTGGAAAGCAATGAAAGGCACGGCGCGAACAAGGTTAAGAAAAACTTGCGTTGAATAAGCGAGTTGTATGCGCGTTGAATAGGAGTGTACGTCTCGGTTGTTTAAGAAAATGAATCGCTATAAAGACGGTTTTTGATTTCTGGTCATGCTTTCTGGACGCGGAGCGCCGACTCGGACTTTACGATTGTCTCTCGATCTCAACCGAGGCCTTCTCTTTTTCACGCCGATTTCCTCCCCAGTTTTTTGCAGCTGGTCGTCGTTCACCTCGGATTCAAATCGACCGATCTAGTTAGTAACCGGTTCGCCTTCCTTATTACGGTTCGCTTCTCTCGATTTTGATGTATTGCGGGTAGGTGGTAATTTAAGGGGAATCGATCGGGCAACTGGATTCACCGGTCGAAGCTCGAACTAAACCGCGATCGTTTCGCGAATCTACTTGATCGCCGATCCGTATCGAGCGACTCCTTCTCGTTCCTCCTTCCTCTTTTGAATGGATTTCGAAAGCAATCTCACGGGTGCCGAGAGCGCGCAGGTGTTTACGTTCTCATATTTCAATTCGAAATTCCACGATCGGCCGGATAAATCCACCCTCCTGTCCGTTTCCATTCTCGATCGAATCAGTCGCAACCGCGGTTGAAAGTTCATGCTTCATCTCCATGCGATCTAACCGTCCCGTTTTTAATGAGAGTAACCCTCGCCGGCATTTCGTCCGTTTCAATCTTCGTACTGACCTCCGACAGTGAAGAAGCGTCACCATGACCACAGCGCCGATGCCAGCCGATACTAACGACACTATCACTAGAGTCAGCACCCATCCAAGTTCTCCAGGAGCTTCTGTAAAAAGAGGGAAAGCCAGCGATTAGACGACGAGTCATTGTAAAAACACTCGGGGGGGATCGATTCTATCGCGTTGTCCAACCGTAACGATTCCAACTGATTGCTTCTTTGCGGCGACGCAGAAATGCCAAACGTCGATGTAAAAAGGTGTTTTATCGTTACCGATGATCCCATCGACCACTCTATTCCAGTACAAAAGTTGGAACAACATTCGTTCCGATTTTACCCCAAGATTCTCTCTGCTTTTACTTATAACTATTGCTGTCGTGGCTGTACTATTCGTACAGTTAGATTTTAGAAAGGGCATTTAGAAATGAGATTTTAGCTTTTTCGGTAGGAGTTCAATCATGGTCTACACTGAGAACTTTTTCGTCAGCATTACATTTTTCAGAAAATATATTGAAACAATCAAAACACTGAATCGCACTACATTCAACCAATATTATTTATTTATTCTATAAATAATAATAAGTATTCTGTGTTGAATTGCTAGTGCACGTACTAAAAATTTAACAGTAACTTTAAGCTTTATTTCATATAATATAATCTAATAAAATGTATCTAATTGTAGCGGCCTATAGTTCCTCGAGTACGAATTTCGAATACCAACTCGTCTAGCGATCTTCGACGTTAAGCAGAGTGCGGAACACCGCTAGGATGGGTGACCCGTCCAACCTAGCGAGTAGTTATAACAATAAGCGTCTAGGGTAAGAGGTCGCTGCTATCAGCCCCACTGATGAATCTAGGCAAGCGACTCCGACACGAAACGCAAAACTTATCCTCACCTCCATCATCCTTACATTTTTCCTCCATCCTCGCACCCATTATAACACTTCTCTAACGCCCTTCATAATGATCTAGTAAAGTGTGATACAACTCAAAATATGGATCAATACATGATCCCTACACCACACCTTTGTTGCATTCGTAATGTCTTTCTTTTCTTCTGTTACGTTTTCTACTCATTTATTCTTTTTTGTGATTTTGTGTTATTACCACACCTTTTCATTTAAGGGTATTAAATGAAATAACTGTAAAATAATCGCGTTTAAATAATGTATGACTAACGGAAGATGTAATTGTTCAATTAGAATTCATCTACGTCTGATCCAAGTAAGGTTTGCTGCAATTATTATCGATAACATTTGCGGGGCGGCTGTAGTCGCCTTTAGTTTGATTCCAGCAATGTGAAGTGAACGCCTATAGCCAGCGTTCTTGTTTCAGCAGACTGAAGTAAGTTAAGCGTCCATAGGCGCCAACAGTCTCGAAAGCAAATTTTCAAAGCGCCTCTAGGCGCCAACAGTAAGCCAAAGGCTTAATTTTATAGCAGTTGTAGACTGGTCTTGTCTAATCGTGATATGATATATTTACCTTGTTGGCGAGACTAATTTGCTCAACGACGGAGATTTACTTCGCGGCTCACTTTAATGAAAACTGTCGAGATTCTATCTTTTTTACTCTTCATAGTTAATTACAAACTGAGATTCCAAGAGATTCTAACTTGTTTGGCCGCCCGCGGAAAAGCGCTATTTTGTACGAACTGCCCTAGCCAATCAAATTTGCCTAGCTACAACAACGTTTCTAGACGAAAAACAGATTTGTGACCGTCTTGACATACGCGGGTGCTATCCGGAATCCTTGATCTAGTAAACATATCTTCGAAAATTGGTAAAAGAAAATAAAAAAATACGAACTAGAGACTAGGACACAGTGCTCGACAATGTTTAATAGTCTTGCGTTAACAGTTGCAACTATCGTTTATTCTCCTCTTATCAACGAAATCATAACCCATAGAAGCAGTCGGTGATCTTTTTTGCCAATGGCGAACCAAGTATTCAACCGGTACGGGGAAGTTTCGCGCGGTCACGCCACTGGTATCTGGCAAACCCGATCGGACGAGCGGTCGAAGAACGTTTTCATAGCTTGTCCGATGCGGCGAAATCCCGCGTGCGGAGTCGACGGTTCCGAATAAATTAGTTGATGGGGTCTCGCGTGTTACGTGTTGGCGAGAAGCTGCATAATTGGTCCGCGGTCGCGCTTGCCGCGTCCAGTTTCCGCCCGGCGGGACGTCCGCATAGCTTTATTACGCGAGCTTCGCTATTATTTCCACGCCACACCTATCAACCTGGTGGCGAGTCTCGTTTGCTTTTTCGGTGTACGTTGCTCGAGCAACGAGACGTGAAATTATCGTAACGTAGAAACTGGAGCCTCGTTTCGAGCGCACTGAAAGCGCTGAACGCATCGGGCTGGTCGTAATCGAGCATGTGTCGCGACGAAGTAAGTAGAAACTGGAATGAAACAGTGTCCTTTCGCCGGCCGTTTCGAACAAATTTTCTACGTGCCACCTCGAAGAAGCCACGGCTTCCATTTAACCAGTTTTCAAAGCGCGAGTCTCGCAGCTCGCGTAGCTGGCTCTGTCGCCTTTAACCGGTCGTCGAATAAGAGGCAACCACGATTATTCCGTTCGGCGCGCTCATTAGCGGTCAGACTCCGCCGATTCCACGAGATATCTTAATCCCTTAATGAAACGTCTGCCCGATTCCTAATTCAGAGGCTTAATCGGGAGCGTTTTCCATGGAACGTCAGTCGGTCGTGAATGAGAGAAAAGATGTGATTTAGTTGTGAAGAAACCCGAGAGATCGACGACGAGAGAGGAGAGAGAGAGAGAGAGAGAGAGAGAGAGAGAGGGGGGAGAAAAAGGGAAATCCTCCTTGACTCACGTCTCCTTTTACGCAGCGTTCGGAATGCTTATTTGCAGTAATTGGGTGACATTATCCAACTGGTTATTAAGAACGACCGATTTTTATTTATTTGTGAGCGGGACGTGTCTCATTTCTTCTGGCTCTATTCTATATATGGCCACTGATGAAGGATCAGTAAAGCCAGGACGATTCAAGTAGCAAATTTTTTTTTTTTTTTTTTTGTTACAAAAGCGCAACAGCTGTGTCTCGGAGAAAGACCAACTTGGTTGCCTCGTTTTGTCTTTGCAACTCTCAACGTGCAGCAAAGTACGTATTGCAAAATCTACCGCTATCAAATGTAACCATCGATAAATTTAAATATAAAATACAAGTGGAATGCGCCAGCTTTGCAGAGTAACGTAAAACTTTTCTTTCAAGAGGAAATAAAAAATACTATCGAAACCAGTTTTCACGTGCACGCTGTGTTCTGATCGCACGAAACGCGATGGAGAGCGGGAGCAGCGAAATGATATCTCTGCCGAAAGCTTGTTATTGTAGCCTGTTTATTGTATTTGTCGCACTGTGCGTTCAAACGCATTCGAACTCGTCGAGGTAGCGATTTTTCGCGGCGGAGGGAACACGAAAGGGTTCGTTCGAGAGTAAAAGGAGAGAAGAGAGGCGCTTGTAATCCGCTGCTGATGCTCGACCCTGAGAAATCACCGCTAGAGACTTACTCGTTCGTGACTATCGACTGACCGAGCAACGTCGGTCCATTCACGTCGCTCGTTTGGGAATTAACAGTTCGCTAACAGTCTCTGCTCTTTTGTTCGCGTCTCGACCTCGTTTCCTTCGACGGACTCCCGAGGGATGACTCTGGTACGAGTTTGATGAATTGCGCGTGCTCTGCCCGCTCGAATGTCTTCGATTAATCATAGAAGACACGCTGAATCTATTAACTCGGGACGCGCGCGAGTTTGTGACTGTTTGGGACGTCTAATTTCACTGATAAAGAATCCCCGACGGGCGACGGTTTCTCACACAAATCAATTTCAGTCACGTGTCACATATCTACGTCTGTTCACGAGATAGCGGTGTGAAATCAGGGGGCGAGACATGCCAGAGGAAGAACGTCGAACCGTACGAAGAAAAAAAAAAAAAAAGAAAAAAAGGATCGGAGGTTAACGCGCGAGCGTGTAAGTTTGAATTAACAGGTCGCGTGAAAACGCGAGAGAAACGAAGAAGCGAGACGGTCGAGCGTAGAGGACGAAGAGGAAACGAAGTCGGCCCGTCTATCAGTGTCACGTTTTTGACGTGAACATAACAACGTGCACGCTGCGGCTGATAACGACTTACAACAGAGTTATCAATCATCTCCGGCGGAGTCTGGTCACCTAGGATAATTCGTGTTAACGTCCGGGCGCGCGAACAGCCGTAGATACAGCGTTCGGTTACAACGTTGTTCCGACGTTCCGAGATAAAATAAACGAAAGCGGAGAAAAAACGAGGGAAACGAAGGGAGGAAAGTAGTTTCGATTTGGGAACGGTCCCTCATCTCGGATTCCTTGTCAGAAACGAATCAAGCGTACAAAAAGGGACACGTTTTCTGCCGGTGTTCGAGCCTTTGTGTGCCTGTCGATTTCGCGTCAACCATACGAACCCAATGGACCGTCGAACTTCCAGATTCCAACCGACAGCAGATTTTGTATATTGTTCATTTATCCTTGGTAACTATTACGGATAATCCTTAACCTCGGTTATCGTGGTTCTATGGTTCTTTTATTTTGAAAAGCAATTAAAGACACGTTCTCGTGCCCTTAGTACGAAGAAGGCGTGTCCCACGTTATCGCTGAACGCCTTTTCTCGTTGCATATTACAGCGTCAGCCTCCACCAAATTGTAATTTACATTCTGCTCGAAAGTGTCCACCGAAGAACCATAAAAACGGCACTATATTCGCAACAATATGCAGGCACTGCCGTGCCAGAATATTCGCCACGGTCACGCGCAGGAGGATCGTATTTATTCAAACGAGTCAATAACAAAAACTACCGGATGGACTCGTTCCGACTGGCCATATTTTAACGACAACTTGCTGCAACGGGTTCAGCGTAGACTCGACGAGTTCCTCCGTCTAATAAATTCGACATCCTTCCTTCGTTATAACTCGATCTCCCTTTGGTACGTTTCTTCCTTTGAATTTCGCTGATAACTCGTTTATCATACTACTTTTTTCTCAACCTACGCTCATTTCGGATAATTTTCGAAAAATTTCCACGACGCAAACGTTCTGAAAATACGCGAGGAACGACTATGATTT